GCCCGGGCCATTGAAACCCTTTGGAAATTGAAAGCACCGCCCCGAATCTTTGGGCTCAACGTATGGCTACCAACAGGAAATCCGTGCATCCACCGCATTGCAAGAAACAAGGAGGGTTCACTTCTTTGGTGGGCTTTGCCTCAAGACAAGGTGCGGCTTAGCCTCAGCTTAGTCTTGGTTGCTGTTGACCCCTCTGCAAACAAAAAAACAACAACTTTTTGCGGATTAAATGGACAACCCTTGCTTCCCCCCCCCCCCCCCGAAAAAAAAAAAAAAAAAAAAAAAAAAAAAAAAAAAAAAAAAAAAAAAAAAAAAACGGGTCTAAAGATCCAAGCCAACAGCACTCAAGCAGTGGGCTTCATGGCGCGGCGCCTGCGGTTTGGCTGCCGCGCAGTTGGGCTGAATGCCCCGAAGCCACGGCCTGAAGCCGCGGAGCCGGAGGAGGTTTGACGGAAAACGGCTCCTGCAAATAGGTGTCTCTCCATGTGTTTTTGTTTTTGTTGTTTTTTTTCTTCTCTTTTTTATCTAGTTGTTTTTTTCTTAAGGAACCCCTTTTCGCTGGGTTTCAAGGGGAACCAAAAAGGAAAATGTTTGACACTTGTGCTCCTGAAGCTTCAAAGACAAACCCTTGGGTCTCAGTTGGGAATGACAGGGGTCGCTGGAGTTCCCCCTTCAAAAGGTTGACAACATTTGCAAAATGGTCCGTGGAAGTTTGTCGCAAAAGGGGCATGGGACCCTGAATGAGGGAACTCATTGTCATTGATGCTGGCGGATGTTTGCGGGATGGCTTAAATAGACAAATGCGCTTTCAAGTGTAAGCATAAATGGGAGGACACCCTGAATGAGGGAACGCATTGCCAATGTGTAAACAGTCACGGGTCGCACTTTTGCTTGCTCACTAGTGCAAGTGTTGGCATTTGCAATGTCAACATTCCTTTCCCCTTAAAACTCCAAGGATTGGGGAAGTTCTCAACCTTTTACAGGCATATAGCCCATGTTACCCCAAACAAGTTGAAAAGTTGTGTTTTTGAGAGGTAAGGTTCACATCCCAGATCCAACGTGCTGCTCATCAGCGCGCGCAAGTCCCCGGGAAAGAAACCGCGGGCCTTCACGCCGCTGGTCGCTAGGAAGGCGGGTGCGGCCGCGGCCGCGGCTGCGGCGGCCACCGCGGCAGTCTGGGCCCCTGGGTCGCTGGGGAAAGAAGCGAAGCGGCATGCGTTTTAAGGTTGACCCCATATGCGGGTCGAAATTAAACCTCCAGGAGACCGCAGGTTTTGGTCACTGGTGCCTTTTTTTTACCAGGATTCCATTTTGGGTACGCATTTTTGACCCACAGCCATATGAATGAACCACAGTTTACTGATAGGGGGTGGGGGGTGTTCTTCTCCAAAAGTGGTCGGATTCCCCACTAAACCTAGAGTCCGAGAATTTACTAATAAGGTGGGGGCCCGGTGGGGGCCCCTCCAAAAGTGGTTTGATTCCCCACATTTCACCCAGAATCCGAGACACCCCACCGATTAATAAACCGGGGTTGATGAATATGGGTTCGACATTGCAAGAATTCCAAAACTTGAAGGGGACGCAAAGAACACGAGAACGAAATGAAGTGGGCCAAATGACTCGGCGAAAACCAAAGGGTATCCGTTCCATATGGCACGACACAATGGCACTGCTAACTCCGTGCAGCGCGCCATCAGGATTTCCAATGGCAACTTGAAGGAACCTCCAGGGTGGTATAAAGCAGCAGCATACGCTAATTCACCAGGTCCACTATGCTAGTCACTCAAGGTGTTGGGCACGGGGCACTGCTTGTCTGCTTCAAGCTGGTTTCGGGCACTTCAAAAGATCATTCCACACGCCCGCTTGTGCTTGTACTCGTGCTTGTGTGCGCGTGCATGTGCAAGCGCCATTCGGAAGCGTGGCAGTGTGAATTGGAGGGTGGGAGGTGCGGGGGTGCGAGGAGTGCGGGGTTGTGGGAGTGCGGGGGGAGGGGGGGGTTGGGGTGCACGTGCCTGTGCGCGTGCGTGAGTGCGCTTTGAGTGTGCGTAAGTGAGCGATTGTGCGAATGAGCCTCTGCACGTAAGCGTGTGTGTGTGTGTGAGAGAGAGAGAGGCAAAGAGCGTGTAATGTGTGCGCAAAAGGGAGAGAGGGAGAGAGACGGAGAAAGAGACACACAAAACATTGTGAATGTGTGTGTGTGTGTGTCTGTGCGTGGGCGGGTTTGTGTCTGTGTGTGCGTGGTTGTGTCTGTGTGTCTCTGTGTGTGTGTGTGCTTTGTCCGTGCTTGTGTGTGTGTGTTCTTTGTGTCTCTGCGTCTGTGTGGCTGTCTGCCTGCCTGCCTCTCTGTCTGTCTGTGCTGCGTGTCTGTGCTGTGTGTGTGTGCGTCTGTGTGTGTGTGTGTCCGTGTGTTTGCGCATCTTTGTGTCCGTGTGTCTGTGTGTCCGTATTGTGTGTAAGTGTGTGCGTATGCCTGTGCCCATGTGTTTAGTGTATTGGTGTGCTTTAGTGTGCTTTGTTGTGTTCGGTGTGATTGTGTGCGTGTTTGTGTGTCTGCGTGTCTGCGTGTCTGTGTGTCTGAGTTCGTGCAATTGTGTGTGTGTGTGCGGTGTTGTGCTTGTGTTTTGCATTACCCAGTGTTTGCGTCAGTACCTATTGTTTTGTGTTAGTCTTAGTGTTAGCGGTTGTATGTTTGCGCGCCGTGCTTGTGTGACTGTGTGTTGCGCTGGTGATTGAGCTTCTCGCTGTCTGTATGTGTCTTCGTGACTGTGTCCGTGTGCCTCTCTGGTCTCTGTCTAGGTCCTCCAGTAGAGAGGTTAGAATAAGGGTACCCTTTTTTCTGTAGTCTATTTTAGTAGGGGAACCCTCCCCCAAAAAATAAACGGTAAAAGGGCACCTAGCTGGGGGACCTAGCTGCGTGTGGTTCTCTGTGTGTCTGTCAAGCAAAGCGCTCTGAGGCCTGGGCTGGACATGTCTTTGGAGAAGAGTCAGAGCTTCCAAAAAGTTCGGGCTTGAGCCTGCTCCCAGTCAACCTGATGCCTTCGTGAGCGGATCTGAGCAACACCTTGGCAAACCTGGACCCATGTGTCAAACATAGGGGAACACCGTTTAGTGGAGGATTGCCGGTGAAACAACCCAAACATGGAACCCTCACAAACAAACGCGCACACACACACACACATGCAGGTTATATCTAGAAACTTTGGCACTTAGATGACTAATTAAAGCTCGAAAATCCCAGCGCCCCCCAGCGCCTGGGAGGTGTCGAGGTCCAAGCAGGGTGAACACTTGAGCTGTACAATTCGTGAGGGGGTTCCTTTCGGGCTGGCTTTTCAGAAAAGAAGAAGAAGAAGAAAAAAACGGAACCACCACATTTTTTGGGGACCCCGCGTCCATCGATATGTTTTTTGTTAGTTGACACGCCCTATTTAAAAAAAAAAAGCACCGCGCAGCAGCACGGCCACGGCGAAACCACGCCGCGCCTTTTTCAACGCGTCGAGGTCTGCGATACCTTTGGCAGATCCAGCCACAAACGAACGCTCAGGTTGGGAGGAGCTCGAAACCCATGCAAACATAGTTAGCTCAATCTGTCCCCTCTGGAGCTTGCTGGCACCAGCCTCCTCAGTGAAGGATTCTTTATTCCGGGGGTGGGGGGGGGGACAAAAGGTCTGCAAAGAGCCCTACTAGGTCCTCCAGTAGAGACGCTAGAGCCGCTAGAACAAGTTGGTACCCGATTTTTTCGTTTTTGTCTATTTTAGTAGGGGAAGCCTCCCCCAAAAAAGGGTGAGAAAGGGCACCACTGGGGGATCTAGTATGGTTAGCTCAACTGGGCCCTTCCCGAGTTGGCTAGAAGTAGCTGGATGAAAATCTAGCGAGTTTGCTAGAAGCAGCCAAAAGACACGAGACACAAGTGCAACCATGAGCGAACTGGTGGCTCCTTTGGCCTGTGCCCTTTTGCCCTGCCTGTTTTTGGCAGTTCAAAACAAGACCCGCGACCAAGAGCAACGTCTCCTGAACTGGAGACTTGTGCAAAGAGGCGCCGCTTGCCTCGCCGTCTGATTCGCCCAAAGCCCGTTGATGCTTGAGTTTTACTCTTCATGGTTTTGAAGCTCTGAATTGGGCCGACTACATTCCCCTGAGGCCAGGCACCCCTACTGAAATGGCCAAATCCGGAGCTTTGGACACCTCAGCTCTCACGGGCTGAGCTCATCGAGGAATTCTGCTCCTCGACAAAATGGCTGTAACGCTGAGGCTTCTGTTCTGAGGGTCCACCGGAGCTGTTCACATGCAAAGCAAACCAAAGGAACCAGAAAGTCGGACCCACCGATCGACGTATTACCATGTATTACCCTTATAGAAGCTTTTAGCTGGTTATCAGGCGGGTGCGACTTGAGCTCAAGTACCCCTGAAAACTAAAGGTCATCTTAGACTCCGTTGACCCGGAATTCATCAACCTGGTAGATTACGGGGTTTTCCTCCCACTGAAGGATCCTGAAAACTGAATGGGGACCTTCGTTGAATCCTTGGTTCCCGTTGCATTTGCTTTTCGCTTTGTTTGAAACCACGGATCTGCCGATGAAATCGCCGCTTCTTTCCGCGGTTTAGCCTCATCTATCGGGATTCTTCGGGAAAATACGCCAAAAAAAAACATGGAACCTGCATCATGGGTATCCTTGTCTGAGTCATTAAGCCAAGTCCCGGAAACGTGAAGCGGAACTTTTCGACGCCTTTGATCCCCTCTGGTCAGGGTTCCACTTCTTACGCAACCTGAACGCAGGATTGAATATGGCAATCTTACGACGAAACCCTGCACTTGGTCAATGTTAGTGTGTGCAAACCATGTTGGGCGCGATTCACAAATCGTTGCCACAAACAATGCATGACAATCCCGGATATCTGCCTCCAAAGACAGACGACTGACTGACCGGCCGCAGACCTCACGACGGATGACGGACGACGGACAATGGACGACTAAGACTAGGACCACATATGCTGGTCCCGAATCATGATAATGAGTATGATGATGACGGAGGCAATATGATAGCAGCTTGCGATCTGATGAGGACAGTATGATTGCAAAGTATGGGATGGTATGACATGATACTATTATATTAACATGAGGTGATAAAATGTTGTGACATTACCAAGTAACGTGATGGTTGTGATGATGATGCTGATGATGAGGAGGAGGAGGAGGAGGAGGAGGCAGAAGAGGAGGAGGAGAAGGAGAAGGATGTTGCACTACCGCAGCTTGGCGCTTACAATGTGTCATCTGTGGGTTTGGATGCCCCGCAACATGTCATGTCTGCCAAAAGTCAAGTTCCGACGTACGGTTGACAGCAACCTGAGCAAAACAAATATGATAACGCAAAAACTTGGAATGCATGCAGTGCATGAAACCTTGGGACCCAAAAAGGGGCGAAGCTTCAAAGCTGGGCTGCCCTCAGATCCCCTGCTAAAAGTTTAACTTTTAGGGGGTCAAATAGAAACCCCCACTAAACACTAAAAGTCTAAAAAGCAAAGGAACCGGATGAATTGCTGGGAGCCACCAAGAAAAGTAAAGCTCAAAAAGCGCCAGGCGCCCCGCCTCAGCCGGGCGAACCTCGAGGACAGCTGGTCCACTTGCTCAAAGAGCTCCTGCACTACAGATGGCCTTTGTTGGCCTTTAGGTGAACCAACACTCTATCCAATTCAAATGGAGCCAGTGGCTTCAGCAAAAAAAATCCATGCGCCGTTGATATCAGAGCCTGGGGTTACACCCATGCGGGGAACAAACCAGGTCAGCTCGGGAACCAATCGGCTCAGAACATGTGTTCCGCGGATGCATCTGCTGCAATGCAGTCAAGACAGTCAAACTAATGCCAATGGTGGCCCACAGCGAGCTAGAACTACCCTCCCAACACCTTTGGTGGCTTGCAGGGCTTATATCAAGTTAATTGACGATAAGGAAGCAATCATGACTCAAGGGACCCCTTCCCGCTGACGTTATGGAACTTGGGGACTCGAATCTTACCAGGGAACTTTTGACTGGGCTGTTCAAAATGGGTGAGATCTCTAATCCTCATCCGCAACAGCAAGGGACACCGCCAGCTAGCATAAAGGCAGAAGGATCTTGCAAACTGGTTCGGAACAACCCAGACTATAATTCCATCCACAACCGAGAAAATCGGGACGCCAGGGTGCGGTAGCTGGCACACTTCCGCCTTTTGTGGGTAAGTCAAGGGGATGACAAAACAGGAATGGGGGAATAGCGCCCACTTTGACCCCACCGTAAACCCGTGAACCCGTGTCCCGTTTCCTTGATGAGGACCTCCTGGGATTCTTGTTGGGCCACTTCCGCCGCTTCCTGGGCCTGAAACTCAGCCGACGAATCCCTAGCGTCTGGGAAGCTTGCTTGGGGTGTTTGTGTGTGTACAAGTTCTTGGTTGACGTTGGAAGGGGAGCAAAAAATCATGTTTAGCAGTTAAGGGAGGATTTCCCACTAAACCACAACAAGCAAAAATGTAAAATGTTTCCCAACAACAACCATGAGTGTGTCTGTTTTTGAGGGTCCCCACTTTTTGTGTTTAAAGGAATGGCAAAAGGAGAAGCCATTCATTGTTGGGGTCCCCCAAAAAACCATACCCATACCCTTTGAACATATCCCCTTTGGTAGGCAACCCCCCTTTGCTATGCTTGTAGTTCATGCCCCTCGCAAGGCTTTCTTCACACGTGGCTTGGGAACCAAACAGTATGCACTTCTCGAGAGATGTGGCAGCCGAAGCTATTGGCAGCGCCTTGGGGAGGGAAACACGCACGAAGGTTGGCCTGGATACCGGCGTAGGAAACACATACGAGCCACGAATGCAAACTTGCAACTCCAACTTTCTGCCAAACACAAAGAAAGAACAGAACGGGTGGACGTGCCAATTGATGGCTGGCATGGGCCCCTACTCAGCTTCGACAACCCAGATTTTGATTGTGGTCCACAGGTCAAGGGGTTGCGAACATGGCTCCCTTTCTTGAAAACCGCCTCGAAAAAGAGGCGACCATAGCATAGCTGGAGCGTCAAAGGCCTGAGACAGCCTCACTCGTGCAGAGGCCAGGACCTTGATGTGTGCAGAGCCCGGGCTTGGGAGACGAACAACCCCTCTCGTGCCAGGGAAACAAGTGGCTTTGAACAGCCCATGTGTTTTCCCTCGGCCCGATCTTCTTGTAGGTTGGGAACCGCCAGCCCACTGCTCAGTCAAGCGTGGCCAAACCCGCATGCGTCTTCTGACTGGCCGCTGGCAGAGCGCTACGTTTACAATAGCACCCGCTGGATGAGAGAACGCCGCGCAGAAGCCGCGTATCGCGTCTTGCTGTTTACAAAACATCAAATATCGGCATATGCCAAAACAACCACATCCTTGAGCTTTGGATACGGCCGCCGCGACGTTTGCGGAGCAAACACCAGAACCCCGCCCCCCCGCAGACGCACCTCGCCTCCAGGGCTACCAAGCGCTGCTCACGCTCCTAAAGCCCAGCTCCAATGCACAGCTGCAACTCACGGCTGGGGGAAAGAATTGATGAGCATAGGTGTCCTTTCCGGGGAAAATAGATGGCCCTGGTAGTTGATGGCCCCCCCCAGCTAAACCAGGGCCCTCTATTTTGCGACCAAATCAACCAAAAAGGACACCTATGTTGATGAGTTTCAAGCCGTGTCCGAGTGTTCAAGGTTCAGAATAATTGTTGCAAGATCCATCACCTAATTGGCTGATGAATCACATGAGTCATAATCAACACCTGGCGCAAACATGGATTTCCCAGAAGCATGTAAGGAATTGAAAACGCGGATATCCGCAGCTATTGCGTGGGATTGTCCCGTACTACGCTCCAATTACACGGGTTTTGATTGTGGCTCAATTGAGCTTCTCCTTTGCTCACATCCAGGATTCTCCACAAACTAGCCTTTGCAGACCCATACAACTACTTGGAGCATGTAGATACCTGCAAACTTGCGGCACCCAACAAACTTGGGCTACTCACCACAAACATGTGCTTTTCAGATTCTGCTGCATACTTTGTCTACCCTAAACTGCAACATAATTTGGGAGAAGACCACAAGGATACATGTCGGCCAGATAAAGAATCAACAAAACACCAACTGGTTTAGAGGATTCCCTTTTAAAGCAGGTGGTTGTTGGATGTATCCTCGGTGCTTTCCCCAACCCCCCAGAAGGAGATTTCTCAGGGATAGCTTCTGTTGGCTCATGTTACTCACGCGGAGTCAACGGCATGCGTCCCTGAAACAACTCGACACGGAGTCACATTCAGTCACATCCGATAAAGGATCGAATCTATCTGCCATAGCCGGGCTATGGATAAAACATCCCCCTCAAGACTTGGAGAAAATGTATCCGACAGAGTCTGAACTATTCTTGGTTGACGTTGGAAGGGGAGCAAAATATAAATCTTAGCAGTTAAGCGGGGATTTCCCACTAAACCACAATAAGACAAAATGTAAAATGTTTCCCAACAACAACCCTGTAGTGGGCACCAGAATGATATTGGATTGGGTTGGGAACTAGCGCAAACTGCATCATTGACGGGGCCGATTCCGGGCCACAGCCAAGCATGGTAGGTCCACTGCCCCCTGCCCTCAAATCCTCCAAATCTCTCCCTCGAAATGTTGCCAACCAGGTTTTTGTCTTTGAACTTTGCAAAGCCACTTCTTGTCAAGAAAAGAACCGGAGCCCCGAAACATAGGTAGGGAGCCGCCTGACTGCGACGAACTGGCTCGTCATAAAACCATCTGGAGCTTTGGCCATGGGGCGGAACCATATGGCTCCATTTTGGGGTGGATGAACAGTTTGCAGGGTTTTGACCACCACAGCCATATCTCGACATTTCGCTACTTTGATGGCTTCGCAGCAGTTCTTTGAGAGATACATCCCAACATCGGGTCCGCTTTCCCCGCCAGAGCTGAGCGAGTCTTATTATACGGAAGCTGTCCACGTCCACTGGACAGAGTTGATGTCTTGCCTTCCGCAGGGCCATCCCGCCGGAAACAGACGAGCACTTGGCATCCGATTCCGAGTCCTTCGCCGCAAGAGTGATCACCTGAGCGATCCCGCTTCGGAATCCCCGCTTCGGAACCCCTGGAGCGGGATGGAATGGGTCTGTCTCAGCGTTTGGATGATGGGTTAGGGAAGTTCAACGGGACACCTCATCACATTTTTGAAAGTCCCTAATTCTGAGCACCCGAATATCCCCAGTGAATCCCATTTCCCCGTGAAACGAAGGGCACCAAACAATTCCCTTCGTGCTCCGTGTTTTGTTGGTGAGGTTGCAATGTGCACCGAATTCTGGGATGCCCTAAGTCTGCAGGATGTTCAATTCCCCTCCCAGCCTTTTCACATGAACCTGACGTATGGGGGGGGTCCTGGAAGACAACATCTTCCTTTAAAGGGAGCCCCAACGTCAGGTTCCATGCTGATTGGTGAGGGGGTAAACTAAATTGAGAGGCTGAATTTGAACGACCCATGGCCCATAATAGAACTGAAGGCGAAGCCGTTGCAGGCCAAGTGGGCGTGCCATCTGAGCGCCCGAAACCTATTGACTTTCGGTTCTGCTAAAGCTGCTATGGAGATAAACATCCTCCCACCATAAGGGGGACAGGAGTCGGGGCCAATTCCATGTATCTAGTCTGCCCCATACAAGGGAAAATGGAACCATAAATGGGGATCTCTATGGGTCACCCCCGTCCACAAATTCTAAGTTGAATGAGGTGGGAATTAACAAAGGCGTATACAAGCCTTACAACAAACCCAATGAAGCCAGGGGATTGCTTGAACAATAAAATGCTAGTGGCAATCGATTGTGGGTGATCTGATCATGTGCCCTGCCAAATTTCAACACAACAAAGGGGAAGTGGGGCGGATATCGAGTTGCATCAGAAACCCATCCCACGCAGTTGACAAAACGACGCCACACCAAGCCAACCCACTCATTTGCCGTCTGCGAACGGACGGGGATGGACACTTAAAACCCACTCCCTAAAAAGCCAACAGAATGTGCAGAACCCACTTTCTGAAACTGCCTGGACCCTCAACCTGCCCTTAAAACAAGGATATGTCCGAAATGATGGGGAAGTTTCTCTTCTTCTGGGGCCGAGTTTCTGGGGCCGAGTTTCTCTTCTTTTTGAGCTGTGAGCCGTGCTGTGCCGGGCGGGGCGGGGGGGGGGTTCTGAGCTTCCCACCGCCAGCAAGTCCTGGTGCGAGATGCCCAGGCGTCTTCCCTCCTGACGGATGAGCTTGCGATTGGATCGAGAGAGGCAGGGAAATGAGACAATGGCATGACCGAATGACAAAAGCCTGCCCCAACGGGTGGCTTCCCTTGTATGATATGAGAATCCCCAAGACCGGGGTTCACTGCAACCCATCCATTTTTGGTGGGTTTCCTTTAGGGAAAGGAATCCTGGGGTTCACTCCTACCAATTCCGGATGTGGTTTGCTTGAAGGGAATCCTGGGGCTCATTCCAATTCTCATTCCCCCAGCAAGAACATCCTTGGCCTCCATTTCGTCCCTGGCAAATTTAAACATACCTTGGTAGTGAAATCGATCTCCTTTAAAACCAACAGGGGAATTTGTATTACTGTAGGTATTTTGTTTAGAACATATTCTTGAGCAAACGGAAGTTGGGAAACAGCAAGAAGCCCCCATGAAGCTGGCCAACCCATTGTGGACAGCTCCGCCACGATTGCAGAGAAGCAAGTTGACTATCCCAGTTACTGAAGCATTGACAAGGGTGCCCTTGGCAAAGAGTTCACTTTACCTATGATACATCATCGCGCTACCCCTCCGTCCACTCACATAAAACCTACCAAGGCTGTTGGTCATGCCATCCTGTTCAAACTATCTGGCTAAAAACAAAACTAAGCCAAAAAGAAACCATGCATCCAGTGGGGTCTCTCTCTCTCTCCCCCTCTGTCTTTTTCGGGGGTACGCTTGTTGAGGCAATTCTAAAGGAAAATCAAACAAAACCACATTTCTGAGGCTTTCCCCAATCGGACCATCCAATGTTGAACAAAACATCTGATGTTGAGCCCATAATAATCAACCCCTGTTTATCAAATATGGCCGTGTCCCTGGTTTTAGTGGGGATTCAGACCACTTGAGGGAACCCCCCCCCCACATATGAATAAGCAGGGGTTGATTAATCCGCGGTCAACATCTATGATGTGGGGATTCCACCCTCCAAAAGCAGCTCTGCTGGGCCTTGCTGGGCATCTCCCGCACGACTCCGGGCAGCGCCCGGTGCGCGCGCTCCGTGGCCTGGCGCGAAGATTGACGCCGGAGCGGGGGTTGCGTTTCCGCGCGAAGAGCGACAAAATGGAGACAGGCCCAGAATGGCACGATGGCACTGGTTGGTAGATGCCAGAATCCGAATTATTCCCTTCCCATCCAATGTCTGGCCCCCAGAGATACAAATGAGTCTTGCGAAGCTCCTTGAAAGCAGCACCAGCACAAAAACGCGCCAAGAGGCGTGGCATGGTCGAAACTCCACAAGAAAGAGCTATCGATTGGGGGCGCTCCCTCGCCATTGCGGCCCAAAAAACCGATGCCAAGGTCTATTCTTGTGTCCGACCCTTCAAGCAAATTGAGCATCTGAAGTTCCGTGAGAATCAAGCGAGCAACTGCCAGCAGAACCCAAGCTGCAAGAGTCAGGGCTCGGTGACTCCGTGCGGCAATGAGAGATGACGCCCAGGCGAGCGTCGTGGTTTGAGGCGGTACAATTTGTTTGAAGCTCGGAGCTCATGGGAAGCCTTTGGGGAAACCGCCGATCTTTTGTACGTGCCATATGGCCATGGGTCAAAAGCCAAATCGTTCCCCCCGCGAACATCCCAATCCAACCACTAAAATAGACTAAAATGGGTGGTGCACCTACCCCGAAATGGTACCATTCGTTTTGACCCACAGCCATATCCAACTCTCAGACATGGTAAAACAGCGGCCCCGAGTGGCATCTTCGTGCCAGGTAGGTGTGGCATTGCACAAAGCTACCACATGAGCATGGGATCATGTTTGTAATTATCCAGCACCTTACACTCAAACAGACAAACAAACAAATAAACGGACAGACAGACAGACAGACAGACAAACAGACAGACAGACAGACAGACAGGCAGGCAGGCAGACAGGCAGGCAGGCAGACAAACAGACCGACACACAGACCGACAGACAGACAGACTGACAGACAGACCGACAGACCGGGGGGACAGACCGACAGACAGACAAACAGACCGCAAGGCAGGCAGGCAGGCAGGCCAACAAAAAACAAACAACCAACCAACCAAACAGACAGACAAACAAACAAGCAAACAGAGACACAAAACACAAATAACACGCACACAGAAACAACACAAGCAACGCACACACACACACAAACACACAGCCCCACCCATGCACTCCCATCTGCTGCTCATGAATGGTCAATTCAGCGCTGTGGTGCCTCCAGCTTCAAGTTGAAGGCGCCAGGCCTCGCGTGCGGTCGCCGAGTTTGGCTTCCCAAGCAGAACCCCCTGGCGTCTACGGCCCACGGGCTTGCAACCCGAGATTGGAAAACTAGAAAAGTGGCACATGAAATGACCTGAAATGCCAAGGACTCCTTCACTTTCTTTTAGCCTTGGGGTGGTCGTCTTGAGACTCGACTCGCATTTTGACAAGACGGCGGCCCCAAAGCCTGGTTTTAAAGGGAAACCAAGAGGGCAAACCACCATTTGGGGGGAGGGGTCCCTAAAAAAAGAACGCCCACATGATCATTGCTATGCTTGAGGGTAGCGATTGGCCAAGTGCGCCTGTGAACTGTGACCCCACATGACCAACCTACAACGGCTTCATATCAACCCCCTGCGGCCCTTGTCACACTCTCTCACTTTTGGTGGCACCCCCGGTCACACTCTGCTATGGTTCACAAAATAGACAGCCAGGCACGAGATCATGCATGAAGCGCTGATTCTTCACTAAGCGTGTTATTCAGTTCATCATTAGTTGAGTCTAGAGCTGGTACTGGGTGGACTATTTATTCACCTTTATCAAGTTTAACCAGATCCAACTGGTGGAATTTGGCGCTTTCGCTGTCGGAGCTCGCCCGGCCTGGATTCCAGCGAGCCTAGGCCGAAGCGGAACTCCCCAGTGAAGGGTCGAAACATTGGAGACGTGTCAAAAAGTTCGAAACCCCCCCAACCACCGCTGGCAAGTTGGGGAGTGCTCGTTCATTTCCCTTTGGTTTCCCCTCGAACACCCCAAACATATCCGTGTTTTGCATGCATAGGGTGCCTTAAAATTCAGCTCCGGGTTCCAGCTCTGCAACACCCTAAACGGGTCGAAATGAGTGGCTGCGCGGGGGCAAAGCTGCCTAAGTTCAACATGCTGAAGACGCAACATGCAAACTTTCCGACATGCCTGTACACCCACCGGTACGCAATGTACACCCCATGCCATCTGCTCCACGGCAGTCGGCACCGCGGGCTATTAGGTCTGACATCAAAGCCAGTTAAAATTGCGCGCATGGCCCTTTTGACGCGGCCGATTCCTACACTTTACAGGGAAACCTGCCCAACAAGGGGAAGAGGAGGGAGCTAGTGGCGAGGAGCTAATCTCTGTTCATCCGAACGGAGAGTTATTGCCCGTTGGTTCGGGGTGATCCTGCATCACACCCTCATAACTCACAACCGTTTGCCATACTGTGATTTGCTTTGCAAAAACTGAAAACTGGGTGAACAAGCAAACCGTCCGGGGCGCACGCGCACACACACACACACATAGACTGGGCAATACTTCTCCGCTAGCGAGAGAAAAAGGGAAAACAGGGCGCGCAACACCCACGGGCGACACGGGCTTTAGCAACCAAACCCTGCCATCATCCAGAGCCTCGGGGAACTCCCGTGCCAACGGTGGAAATTAATTGACGTACCCTCTTTTAGGGAAACCAGGCGTGTATCGGCCCAACCCTGGAAGGGGGGGGGGGGAACTAAATATCTACAACGTGTTCATCGCAACACAAAACTCGCTGGAGTTGCTGTTCCTTTGCTTTGAGTTGCTGATTACAGTCGTTTAGTGTGTTAAGAAATCATATTAAACAAGAAACGAGACTCTTGCTGAGCCAGAAAGCAAGTTTCCCAGACTCGGAGCCCCAAAAAACCTGATTTCTGCATAGTCATTTCGGCACCTCTCAGCTGCGGACAGATTCATTTCGGCACATGACGGTAATCACAAAAGTGATTACAAGCCAGGAAACGTGCCCGAACCCAGTCTGAACATGTCTGAACCCAGTCTGAGCTCAACCGATTGAGGGACACCGGGTGGCGGGTGTCATTCTGCCATGTTCTGTGCCACATCTTGAGGTGAAGGGTGCGATTGGGTGCGACTTGCAGATGGCACGTCTCGACACAATGGGTGCAGGTTGGGTGCGACTTGTATTTTCTTCCAAATTGGTTACTAACCTGCATGGCTCCCCCATGTCCCGCATCTGACTGGTTTCAAACTGGTTTGAGACTGGTTTCAAGCTTCTTTTTTGGCTAAGGGCAACAAAACGGCTCCACCCTGGATTCCCTCACATCTGCGCAGCAAAGCTAGGACCCCCAGAAAATTTACCACCCAAATTCTCGGAAAAACTTGAGATTTCTCAACTCCGCCGTACAATGAAGAAACTGTCGAGACTCTCGAATGTAAGAAGGGATTTCTTATCACACAACATGACCGTACCATCATTCAACCAAAATTTGATGAAATGAATCACCATGGAGCTCGCTATTCGCCCCGTGATTCTTGCAGGAAACCAAGCGGATCCAACGGCCACCAGACGTCCTTTGGCCCTGGAACATAGCATGGGACCAAAAGTGGGGCTCCCATCCCTCGCCAGAAACACATTTCGGCTCTGATGAGAGATCGGAAATAAGATGCAAGACCATCTAGACCCGAAAAGTCTCATCCCGTTGCTAAGAAACAGCATGCCTAAAGACGAAGACCACGCGAGCGTTTGGTTTGAGAGCCCAAACCTACTTCCAGCAAACCCGAAAATGTAAGTCTGCCACCTCCGTGTTTCCCAAAACAGCAACGCTAACATGATTGCTAAATTTGATATGATCCAAACAACAGCTTGTAGTTAGGACTAGAGTAAGCCCAGTTTGTCTCGGTTTTAACATGGGTTTCCCTTGGTTCGGGGGATGGACATGGAATCAATCTAGAGCCATTGCAGGGTTTTCACCCTCGCGCCGAGATGCGCAGGGCATCGGACCCGGAGAAGGCCTCTCTCTCGTCGCCTGCGAGAGAAGCAGCAATAGATTCTGGATGCCCCAAAAAACCGCCGACACACGGTAGGTCCTCCAGTAGAGAGGTTAGAATACGGGTACCCGTTTTGTTTCTCTTCTTTTTTTCGGTAGTCGATTTTAGTAGGGGAAGCCTCCCCAATAAAAGAAACGGTAAAAGGGCACTACTGGGGGACCTAGTACATGACGCATTCACCGGGTGCCAAACAAATCTTCTCTCCCGTATTTCTCCCAAAAAGAGAGGGACACATTGGACAAAAAGCCGCATCACACCAGTTGGCAAGTGATATGGGGTTTCATACATCCCAACTTGTACAGGATTTTGTCAGTATGACTAAAGAGGGAGTACGTTGGTATCACAGAAAGTGGCAACCTAACAAAAGAAACGGTTTCCCCACAACCATGATCCCGGATGTGGCGGTTGTGTCATTTGGTTTCCCGTTCAAATCGGGGATCGCACAAAAAGCCCTCCAAATACCAAACAATAATTTGCCGTCTCTCTGAGGGCATGTTTGCCAACTGTGGGACTGATATGGACCAACCGTCCTGGAAGGCAATAACATTATTTCCCTCATCTGCTCAGAGCCAGCACGAACATGGGGGTCTGGAAACAAAAACAACAACTAGTACTCTGGGAAGCTCTCCTTCAAAGTTCAACATGCTTCCCATCCCTTTGTCTCTGTTTGTACAATTAAATAGGCTCCTCGGAGGGTTCAAGGGATTTCCGCAGTTGGGGCTACCACCTACATGTACCAACGAGTGCTCTCGTCGGATTGCCTCGCTGCGAATCCTGGAGCAGGGACTGGTAGAGCGGCAGCACCTGGCAAGGGCGGCTCCGGTCTCCGTGCTTCTCACTCCTACCCATTACCCCACTGAACACTAAAAAGCTTCATGGCTAAAGGGATGGCTGGGAGCCACCAAGAGTACACTACGGAGGATGCTCTAAATATTGCAAGTAGGGAACAAGAGAAACCCTGTAAATCCCATGGTTTGCGGTTGGCTTACTTGCAATGATTCAGGGCATCCACCGTCACAAACCATCCCGGCCTGTATGATATTTTAGACCAATGCATTCCTCAAACTGCCACCGGGGGAAACGAAGAGGTTCCATCTCTCTCTCGGGTCCTCGCTGAGTGCCTCAAAGCGCCGAAAAAAGGGTGGGCCTGATTGACACCGAAACGGCTCCTTTCAAGGAGCAGGCCGTGTTCAGCCGCAAGGTCGGACCTGGAAATACTTTTGGTGATCATCTTTCGTGTCGCCAAGAAAGGACCAAGGGAAATGATAAAGTTGTCAAATCAGGTCGATTCGCCTGGGGCAAGGTATTGCTGAGTCCCCCCAAAAGGCAAGCCCGATAAAGTGTCGGCTTCGTCCGTTTTGTCGCTGACGTCGAGAACAGGAACAGGAAACCAATGATATAGTGGGTGTGTCTCTTTTTGATGGCACCCTGCGTTTATGGGGTTGTAAACCAAACCAACTTACACCAGGCCAGAAACTGCTTGCGAAGGATCTCTGGCTGTTTCAAGCACCTTCAGAAGGTTACAGGCTCGAAACACGCCCCACACAAATCACTCACCCTGTGCAAATCGCTTGAACTTCTAGCCTGGCACAGGTTTGCCACAGGTTGAGGTAGACAGCAACACGTGCACACATGGCCATGGGGCATAACCTATGGCTCCATTTTGGGGTGGATGAACATCCATTTGCTACCTATTTTGATGTTCACCAGGGGCTTCCTGGGTTTTGACAACCACAGCCACATGGGGGGCAGGGGTGTTTTTGAGTTCACATTTTTGTGGGGATGGTTGAGCGGCTTGTGCCATACTCTGAGCTGAAAGGTCGGGACGTTAAGGGACCTGCATAGGCATCGCAAAGCTCAAAATTTCCCCCCTGGAAAGCTGTTCAAAGGAAACCAGCCCCAAAGAGATTTGTTTGATCTTCTCGCAAATGCTCACTTGTGTTGTTGAATTCATCACTTCCAACAATACCTTCACTTCAAGGCGTCTTTTTCAGCACCCTTCACCATGGCTACCACCTGAAAGCACGACCAGACCTGGCCCCTGCAACAAGTTATGTATGTTTGCTAAGGAAAACTTTCCAAAGGTCAGCGTTTGGTCTGGCAATGATTCAGAACTGTCGCATTCGAACTCGCCTCACTCTTCAGGCGGCTGTCAGAAGCGCTGATGATGCTCTCCGTCATCCAGGTGCCGTGCAAATTTCCTGAATCGCCCCAACCGACCAGGTCAACCAGGGCCATCTTTTTACCAAGGTGACTACCAAAAAGGACCCCTTCCAGGACCCAACAATGGCTGGCAAATAACCCCAAAACAGCCATTGGGAGGTCATTCCACAGGCCATTTGCCAGCCATTGGGGGGGGTCCTGGTCTGATACAGACTGTTTTGCGAGGCCCTCAAACTGCCCTCGAAAATCGGATGTGATTATTGTTGCTTGAGGGGCAATACCCCATGCCATTGGCACGGGTAGTTTCACAATGATTTTTTTTCTCCATTTATTTTAGGAAGCCCAAAGAACCCCCGAGTAAGGTACATTAAGCTGTCCTGCGAGACGAAGGGCAAGCGCATTGCAACGAACATGCATACCCCCCCCCACAACTATTGGCCGGCATCTGAGACTTTCTGCCAGCGAGGCCGACCGTTGGGGCGGAGCGTGGCTGCCCGTTGCCCCTTTGCCATTCAGCAACTGAGACGTGGCACGAATCCATGCAAAACCTGTCGCCATGCACTCCGATGAATATCGATTGTCGTCCAATTCTCGAAATTGGGGAACCAATTCCTCCAGAAGCGGGTGGCTTCCCTTTCAAACCCATCCAAATAGGGGTTCGATTCCTTTTCTGAAAAGTCTCCCAATGCAAGTCCTCACATTCGCTGTCAAGCAATTCCCGGAAACATTCCTGAAAGCCCAAAAGCTGATCGAGAAAAACAACTTTGCGAGAGGCCAGCCTCCTTGGGCAGTCACCGCCAGCACCTGACTCAAACTGCGAGTTGGAATGCAGGCACTTGGCAGGGGTCACTGACAAAAGTTGATAAATTGACCGGGGGGTTCACTTGCGCCATGGTCACTTTTGACCCCCAAACTTGGGCTGATCCTTATGAAGATTGCTACTGCTCACTCGGACGAAACCGACGAAAACCCGGTTTTCTTCGTTTTTGCAAGCTGATCTTCTGTGGCCTGTGACCTGCAGCAACAAACAAAAGGCCTGACAAACGCTTTGCGACTGGGAAGTCGAATGCGAATGGGTCCCGGACCCATTGGACGGGATTTATGTCCGACGCTTGAGAAGGTTTACTATGGGGACCCTAAAAATGGTGGATTTCCTTTAGGCTTCCCGATGTTTCTCGAACGGGGTGAACACACAAATCGAGATGGCCGAAGCATGTCGGCATTGGGGAGGACAATAGTCAGAGTTCCTAGGCAAACCATTGCCCACAGGCCCTGCTCCAAACACGCATGCGTCTTGGGTATTCACCGAACAGGAGCTATGTTTACCGCATGCGAAACCTGTTTGTTCACAACATGTACTAAACAAACCAGATATTTGGAGTAAGGGAGTCACGTTGGGACATCGGCCAACAAGTTGGGGCCCGCTTGTCGTTTGAAGGTACCTTTTCCGGTTGGTTTAGGAACCAACAGGCACACCGCCACTTTGGGGTCCACGGAAGCCCTCGTTGTAACCGAGGTTTCTGAGCTCCTTCGTCCATGACCTGTAAAAAGCAATGGAGTACTGGCTCCGGGCGCATTCACCTCTACTTTCACGAGGTGGATTTATGCATGTAATTGTTGAAAGGATAAGGGGGTCCATGTTCGGAGGGGCCAAGAGACTTGTTGATATTCATTACTCGGGGGGTTGTCTGAACTGGGTGGGGGGGCTTCTCTGCCCTTGAAAACACGGCAAGAAGGGCCATGTGTTTCACACCTTCCCATTGATCTGAAGTGCCCCCGGCAAAAATGCCGCGAAGTCGCCTTGGTGGCTCCCGTCTTGAACTGGAGCTCGCTGGTGCCGGCGTCCTCAGTGAAGGGTTCTTTCTTCCGGCGGCGCACAAAATGTCCGCAAAGAGCCCTACTAAGTCCTCCAGTAGAGAGCTCAGAATAAGGGGCACCAACTTTTTTCTGTAGTCTACTTTAGTAGGGGAGCCCTCCCCCAACAAAGAAACGGTAAAAGGGCACTACTGGGGGACCTAGCCTAAATACCTAATTCAAAATAAGCCAGCGGGATGGAGGGTCTTTGGGTCGGCTCACGGGCGTTCGCCCAGTTGGGTGTTCGACAACTCGAGGTGCACAAGATGCAAACAATTGGTCAGTTCCTCAAGTGGCTCCTGCAGGGTTTCCTCCTATATTGAAACCACCTGATGTCCTGATTGTGAGGTTGGGTCGGGTGGTTGATTTGTTTTGCCTTGATTAACCCGTTTCAAACCCTCGGGCATAGCCCCCAAGGGTAAACCCATGAAGCGGAAATACGGGGTAACTGAGGCAAAGGAATCCTTGGCCAAAGTGTCGAGTCATGTACCAGGGGTCTGAGGAAAGTTGAGACATGTGGCTACGCACTTTGGCAGGGAACCTCTTGGAAAAGTGGAACCGGTGGACATGAATCCCAACCTGCATGATGTCCACCAAAGGGTCCCCTGAATCTTGTTCTCAAATTTCTCTAGGTCCTCCAGTAGAGCGGTTAGAATCAGTTGGAAATCCCGTACCCCCTGTGAACATCCCAATCCCCACTAAAACAGACACAAATGGGCGGTGCACCTACCCATTTTATGACTCGCCCAAGTCCTCACTCCAAGGCCCCCGCCCAGTTGATCGTCCAGGATGGCATCACCAGCTGCGCGCTGGAAAGAACACCTAAGGCGACAGCGGCCGCATAGGGCGGTCGTCCGGCAATTTCGAGGTACAAATGGATGAACCCCGAAAATCGGTGGCTTCCTATCAGATTCCCTTTCAAACCATCCACTCACTTCCTGGTCCTGAGTGTATTGGCAAAACTGAAGACGTCTAAACTCGTTATTTGCCACTAAAATGCCCCTCCCAAAAGATTGAAAGTCTAGGAAGTCAGGAAGTGAGTCCAAAATAAGACCGTGTGTTCCCGCCGGAATTGCGTTGGGCTTCCGAGCACACACTGTCGTAGACGGACAGGGTGCTGCTTGGCCGCGCCAGGCCACACAGAAACAAAGCAGAGCCTCGGGGGGAAAGCGCAGCGCGTGTCCGCGGTGGAAACCGAAACGAGTCGATTCCGAAACAAAGTCGCATCTCGGTTGCTGTCTGCTCCCCTGCTAAAAGTTTAACCTTTAGGACCTTTAGTGGTTTAATACGGAAAACCCAGTAGTTGCCAAAAAGTCAAAAGTCCTAACATCCCTTGGCAAAATGCACCAAAGGCATGCCGGGCAAGTAGTCGAGGGCTTGGTATCCCTTGAGGAAGAGGTGAAAAGCGCCCACCTCCATAGAAGCTAGTTGCCTTCTAGACCCTCTGAATTCAACACCCTAACACAGAGCGTGCAAGCAGCTGAGGATGATATAGCAACAAAATTAGCAACCCAAAGGCCTGCATGCCAAATTGACCCCAAGTACACAAAGCAGATCTTTTCTGCAAATACTTTACCCCATGGCAAAGCAAGTTACGAAGAGCAGCAGTTGGCGATGGCACTTGCTAAGTATCCCCTTCCAAGTCCTGACTCCGCGCATCTTGGTGCGCGGCCCATGCGATTTGGGCCTGCGAATGCCCGAGATCAGCCGGAACTACAGATCTGCAACCAAGCCTTTCGCGAGGGTGTCCCAAAACAAACACCCACACAAAGAGCTGTTGTTTTTGGTGAGCCGTTGAAGACCATCCAAAAATGTGCTATCTAATTTTGGATTGCATCCCGCCATGCCAAAAGAAGCTCGTGACTCACACTGAATCTGTGGAAGCCTCAGAATGCCAGAATCTCCGAACTGAATGCACACCATAATTACTCAGTTGCCCCTTAGGGACCTGGGAATAAAAGGTGATCACCTTTTGGGACCCTGACTAAAAATGGACCAAAACGAGAAAACCAAAAGGTTGAAGGTCGGCTTTGGGCAACTGAGATTACCCTATAATTGTGTTTGTTTCCTTCAAAGGGATCCTCCTTCGCGTTCCATGCTGGGAGGGAACAAGAGCGATGCCCAGACCTCCAGTGGCCAGGGGGACAAAGCAGACCCCTGGGGTTCTCGGTTGCTGTCTGCTTCCCTGCTAAAAGTAAAAAAAAAAAAAAAAACATCTAGTGGTTTCATGGAACACCCATTAGTTGGCAAAAGCTAAAGTCCTAACATCCAAGCAACATGCACCAAAGGGTTGGTGGAGTTTGAACCCCCAGCAATGCAACGCCGACTCGAATTCTTGCGCAGCCTTGCAGCGGCAGGAACGCTCCGGGCTGCGCAAAAGAAAACGCCTCACTCGCGCGCGGGTGCTGCCAGAAGCCTTTCGCGAGGATAAAAAGCTGGTTCCTGGAGAAAAGAAAAGAGGACACAATACCAACTTTGTGAGCAAGCAGCTTGGTATTGGCAGCCCACGAAACATGAACAGACCCACGAACAAAGAACCCAACAGGATCTTGAACGGTTCGAACCTCTGTATCCTCCAGGTTTCAAACCCAAGCGCCAGCTTTATCAAAATCAGTCTGGAGGGCACCAATCGGAGCGGAGGAGCTTGGAGTCAAAAACGGTTGACATCTTCATCCGGGGAAACCACAAGTAGCCTGCCATGGACTGAACTTTAGAACTCTAAGCATCACACTTCTGGCCACTGAATCCCCTCAAATGGGCCACGGAATTGGCATATTGTCTCTAGATGGGCTATGGGGCTATGGGCCTCCCGCGCCACTTGAGTGGCTTTCCTCTAAAGCAAGCCCGAAAAGGTTTCCGACATCACACCCATGTCCTCTGGGGGGAGGTTCTCAAAATGGATTTCGGACCCTGTTTGGTTTAAAAATTTAAAGGGAAGATTTAAAAAAGGCAACCAATAATTTAAGGTCCGTCGGCTTGCTGATGGCTTGATCGACCAGCGTCCAAAAAAGAATTGGACCGTCCGCGTGCAATCCGTGCTTATTGAAAGGGACGCCAAAAGGAACACCACCACTGTTTCACGCCAGGGCTTTTCTTGGCTTTCGGCATGCAATCATTGGGGCATTTGCGCACCAGTTGAACGTGTGTTTGAATCAAATATGTGATAAAGGCTAAAGCTGCCAAAATGTGTGCAAATACATCGGGCGTAATGGTTTGTTCAGGCTGTGTTGCATTTCCAGGCGTTCTACTCATACCAAAAACATGATCAGAAACTGTTTTTGTCTAAGGAGACAGAGTTTGAACCATCATTTCCACAGCGCGGCATTTCTATGTGCTTCTTCTCGCACTTGGTGCTTCGGCTTGGTCTTGGGTTCCCCAAAGGTCCCCGCTTAGCAACCCCCCCGCAAAGGTTCTTGGGCCCTTCTTAACAGGGGTTCTGATCCAAGGGTTCTCATGGAACCTTTCTGGTAGGTGGCGGGGGGGGGGGGGGACATGATGTCTCTGTCCTGACCAGTATGCGACAGTTAATAAACATGTCATTTTCCGACTTGGGTCCTGTAAAACTAAGGAACTGACTTTGGGGGGTCCTGATTACCGTCACATCCAATTGAAAAACCATCACCTGCATACAGCACATCCATGTTCAACTTGGATCCCTTGGTTTCCGGTGGTTCCCCTTGGCTTTTCTGCTCTCTGCCTTCTGCTTGGTTTCCCTCGGCTCTCTTGGCACGAGGCCCCCGCAAGTAGCGCAGGCCCAGGCCGAGCGCGGCTCCGTAGAGGCAGCGGAGACCCTAAGCCTCGGGTCTGGAAACGGCAAAAGAGAAACAAACACAAAAACTTGTGATATAGGTGTTGTAGGGAAACCGGAGCAAACCCCAAACTTGGGTTTCAGATTATAACTTGGGAACCCAAAAACCAACAAATCCATTCGGGAGGTTGAGCTGGCAACATGAGCAACCAACATGGAAGGAGCTCCCACTGTGGAGAGACAATCACCCCTACCTTCTAGGGGAGGGGGGTTGGGGGTGCCAATTCCATTTCCTTACTCTTCTCACAAAAGGATCCTGTGTGACGTTCTGCTTGGCCCAGACCCAAGCTTTTGAGGTTACCCTTGTTCAGGGGAGTTGGAAACTGAAGGGAAACCGAAGCGCCGCTGTGGGACTGTGGGACTGTCCCCTTTTTAACATCAAACCCACGTGAACACCTATATGGACATGGACATGGCTTGCCTGTTCCAATCCAAGAGTTCTCGACAAAATGAATCTCGATTTGTATTTGTTGGCAACCAAAAGCGATCCAGGTGAAGCAAGCAAACCATGATGAACCTATGGGAAGGACCCTCTGGGCGGCTAAAGGGACCCGAAATAAATAGTAAGCTCGTGTCTCATTGGCCCAAAAGGCGGTGTCTAACCACCCAACTTTGGGACTCTACAAAGGAATGACCCTTTTGCACGGATTAACGCTAATGAAAGGCCAGATCATGTCATATAATTGCGCAGTTCTCAGGGCCACCCAAATCAAAACTGGGGATGTACCATTAGATGCTATTAAAATTGGCATGAATCTGGCCCAACCGACTATTTTCTTCCGGCTGTGCCGGCGTCCCCAGCTGCGAAGCCTGGGGTCCCCAGCTTGCAAAGTCCAGGGCAGGGGTCGACTTCTCGAGCCGCGCCATGGATAGCACGGAAGAGCTGAAGCCGACTTTCGCGAAGGCCTCGGTGCTTTGGCATCTCCGCCCGTGTTCCGCGCGGGTAAAACGCGGGGGTGGGTTGCGGCAAAATAATCCGGAATCTGTGATTCCAAAGTTATTGATTCCCGTTACTGTATCAATTTCCGGGAAAATCCGGTATCACAGAAACCGGCCGCAAAATCCACCATCACATGGACCGGCAAGCCCCGCGTTTTGGGCTTCGCCGCGCCAAGCAGCCAGGAACTCGGCCCAAGGCGCAGCTCCTTGACACCCCACTGGTGGGTTCTATGCCACTCTTCACTGGAGAAAAGCACGGTTTAGCAAGCAAACCAGCCACTAACCCACACAAAAAAGGGTGGTTAAATCCAGCAGTAGAATGAACTCAATTCTGAAGCCCTGGTATGTAGCCAGATCTTGGCAAATCAATCGAATATGAAAAACCGGCCCACAAAAGCAAGCCTTTAAAGGGTCCAAATTTGTCATGGGCTCATATCTATCTATCTGTCTGTCTGTCTGTCTATCTATCTAGCTATCTATATAGTATTCTTTTTTCGGGGTACCTTTATTTGGTGGTTTTAAAGGAAACGAGCCATATTAGTGAGGCCCCCTAGAAAAGGACACACGAATAAAATACATGCATATGTATATTATTTTGACATGCACAAACAAGTAAGCATGAGGGCATCTCAAAATTACACTTGGGTCCAGGAGTTCCCTTTGAACCACCATGAGGATAATTTAAGGATGTCACTTTCTTGGACCCAGATTGACGAATTGCAATACTCCATAAAAGATCTTAGCCCCAAGAGCAAATCCTGCCCAAGAAACCACGGCCTCCTCAAACAAAGGCACGGCCTCCCCAAACACCGGCACGGCACGGACAAAAAAAACGGCCAAGCGGCCTGCACCGGGAAGGGAGAGCGCGGGATAAATCCCAGGTATCTCCCCTCAGCGCGGGCGGATTGATACACAGATTGCTACTTGGTTACATTTGTCACGCCCCATCAGGAACCCTCAAAGTCCTGGGTTGCCTTTTCGTTTTCCTAAGCCCCCAGGAGCCAGGGGCTTGAATCCGAGTCTCCCCATCAAAGGCTGTTTTGTTGAATGCGTTAATTTGCCTGAAAGTTCGAAAAACAACGTCGCAAGGGAGGTTCACATCACTCGGGCTCTTCAATCAGGTGACCCTTACTTTGTACAAAACTCACCAATAAAGAACAGAGCAATGGCAAAGTCGCGCAAGGCAGAGACAGCGAGCAATACCCCAGATTCGTTCCAGGGAAGTTCCCTTTTTGGAACCCGGGCACTGGCGAATAATTGAAATTTGGCAGGCGTGCGACACAAAACGATGGGTACCCTCTTTTAGGTCGACATGGAAGCCACCAGGTACCTTTGTGACAAGGAAACCCTCTTCCCTGGTCTTGAAAGCTTCCACAGCGTCGTCAGCAGAGACAGCTAACTGTCTTAGAAAGATGCGATGCGCTTCCTTTCACATTTTAACCCCGAAACACAAAAGAATGCCATGGAGCCTTTGCAATCCATGCAACTACTTGCAGCCCAATCTAAATCCCTCAATTGGAAGTTTCAAAATGACCATGGGCAACTTTTCCTATGTAGTGGTGAGAGTCATCTTTTTTGCGGGCTTTTGATCATCCCCCTCTGGCTGTGGTCTCTCTGAGGATACGCTGTTGATTCGGTTGGCTTGAACGGTTTGAAGGTACAAAGGGAAACTGAGCCCTGGCTTGGAACCGCTGCATCACCCTTTTCTGAAGAAAATGCCGGCCCTTTTTCGGAGGTTCCCTTTGGTGCCCTCCTTGTGTTTGGGCGTCCCTTTAATTCCCCTCCCCCGCCGCCGAACCTCAGACCTCAGCCTCCCCGCCGGGAAGGAGATGGAAAGGCTGGACGCCGAGCGCGCGTGGTTTCGGGCGACCAAAGAGGCGCCCGTGGCCACGGAGTCCGGCCTCGGACTACGCGGGGCCAGGAGTTCGTCAGCGAGTATCGACTCGGGGTTCCCATTTTGTGAGCCTCTAGAAAAAATGTTAGTTTGGAAGCCTGGCCACGGGCTGGGCAGTCGGTCAAACTGACCAAGGTTTTTTCAAGAGGACATGGCAAAAGGGGCTCCTGCTCCCCTTGTAGTTGACATCCAGTGAGTTCCCCATGCCCATAAGTGCACAGACCGTTGCCACGTACTTTGCGGCTACGGAGATGTACGGAGTAAGAAGAAACTTGCGAACATAGTCATGACCCACTTGCGGGGGGTTTCTCAACTAGGTGGCCCCTTGAAGTACAATTCTGCAAATGGAATATATATATATATATAACGAACTGTGCAGGACATCCTGGCTTTAAAGCGCGTCCAGGAGGAAAGCTACCATGTTGGAGGTCTAGTTTAGCAAATGCCCAGCTGGTTTCAAGAGATGTGGGAAATAATGCGGCCTGACTGTAACAAAGGGGAGTTCTAGTTGCACGCAACGGTACGGAGAGCCTTCAAAAACATGTGTACCAACTAGACAGTTGTGATGCATATTTGGAAGTTGGGGCACATGATTGTGGTGAAATGTCCACCAACCATGTTGGAGAGTTTCTCGCCATTGAATCTCATAGCCATGTGGGTATGTCTCGAAATGAGAGGGCCGACAAAATGGGCTTCCCTTTAAAACCAAGCTCACGGGGTGGCAACCCAAACAAGAAACGCACAGTGGCCTAGATTTCAACCCCAAAGAAGGACACCGCGCGGAAAATGAGCTGTGCCCCGACTCCCCATCTTGTGACTCGTTGATTTGCCCATGGTTTTCTGTTTTTAGAGGACCCCCCCTCCCAAACTCAAAAACAAACAAAAAAGGAGTACACACACAAATGTGTGTTTCTCTTTCGGTTTTCCTGCAAAACCACAAGAAGCTTGGTACCCCCAAACAAAGACGAGCCACCGATATGTTACTTGTAAGTGTGCAAGGCCTTTCCGAACTCAAACAAGGGGGCTCTCCAAACCAGTGGTGTGGGAGGCTCCTCAGGTAAACCTCAGAGACATAAAAAAAAAAAAAACTACAGCGACTAATTGCGGAAACACTGGACGAAAATCCGAGAAATAAAAGCGGGAACAAGCTAAAGGGAGACCGCAAGAGAAACCCAACGAACATACACTGCGCACCCGAAAACCTCAACGACGCACCCGAAAACCTAAACGAACGTCGAAAAGGATTGCCATTCTTAAACAGAATAACCCAAGTGATTTAGCTGGCAGGGCGTCAAGGACGAGATAGTTCTGCGCCAAGGCAAGGCAACAAACAGCAATGAGCAGCCAAACGAGCTAGTGGAATGGACCATGGCCACCAAAAGTTATGCTCAAAGTACAAAACCAGTGGCAGTCAATTCATTATGTTTCCTTGGGCAACCGAGGCCACCCTTTTCGTTTCAAGGAAAATGGCGAACGTAGGGGCGAAACACCGATCTACTGGGCAGGTCCTGAGAGTGGCCAAAAAGTCCATATATATTATATTATATTATATTATATGATATGATATTATGTTATGTTATGTTATGTTATATTATATTATATTATATTATATTATATTATATTTGTATATATATATATATTAGGCCACGATAGCAAACCCTTAAAGCACAAATCCAACAAGGGTGTCACCTTTGGCACGGCCGAGGTCCGATGAGAAGCTTTGCCCTTCGGGACTCCCCGCACCGGCAGCGGGCTGCCGAAACGTGCTGTTCCGGAGGTAGGCGAAGAAACCGCTGAACGAGAGGAGGACTGAGCCTGAGACTTCGCCAGACGCCAAAAATTGATGGCCGAAGCCGAAGCATACGAGGTGAGCTGCATGTCTCGGGCCACAAAAGCCAGGTCACAAGATTCCTTCTGAGTGGGGACGAAGGCTGCCCTTGGGTTTGAGGTGCAACCAACCCAAAACCTGCCTTGGTGCCACTGGGCAAGAAGGATTGGGCCAGAATAAGAAGCATTCCCCATGAGCCGCTTTCGTGGAGGAGCCACAAGGAGGCTGTCTTTTAAACCCTGGTTGCCAGCCTCCCAAGGCGTTTCTTGCTGTTCTCAATACTTGGGTCTTCGGCCAAGCTAAGCGATGAGTTTGCGCAAAGTTGTAAGGCTCTTTTGCACTCCCAAGTCGAATTGTCGAGCTGTACGCCTAATCATGCCAATGCTGCAAGGTGCCAATCAAAGTATCTGCCAGCCATATCCAGTCATGACAAACTGCAGCTTAAGCCAATTGCAATACGTTACAAGGTGATGCTCAGCAAAACGAAGCAAAGTTGGCACACGCAGATCATGCAAGCGTCTTTCCACTGTAGGATGTAAGCTGCCACCTCGTCATGGGAAATTAATGGAACCAATGACTTCCTGATCTGCAACTGGAGTCAATTGTTAAGCCAATGAACTCAACTCCTACAGATGCCGTTCCAAATGGCTCTCTTCTTTTTCTTCCGTTCTCTCTTCTTCTTCTTCTTTTTTTTTTGGGGGGGGGGTTACTCGTTTGTGGTGGAACTAAAGGAACCAAAAGACAAGACACATTTTATGTTGTTTTGTTTGGGATGTCCCCTCAGCAAAATGCTCCCAAATTCCAACCAGTGTGTGTTTCGGGGCCGGGTCGCTTGGGGGCTGAAACCGCCGCTTGCGCCGAGCGCCGGCCGCTTGCGCCGCGCGTTCGTTTTCTTGGCTCGCGGCAAGCGAAGGTGCTCCCGGAGGTTGAAGGTCAGAGGCCTCGATCGATCGAGGCCCCGAATCGAAGCGGGGGGTTCTGGCCATAGAGTGTGCCTTTTTTTGGGCAACCCCGGAAGAAAAACAACCCAAAAAAAAGATGTGTGGTTGTCCCTTCCAAAAAAAGGGGTAGCCTCGAAAAAAGACAGACCCCTTTTTTGGGATGTCGTGCCAAAAACTAGGTTGATGCGCTGCTCCTGCTCCTGTCACGTGGTGATTTGTTGGTGGCCATGCAACTGGGAGAAGAAACATCTATTTTGTGGTTACTACATGGTACAGTGATATGTGGCCCCCCTGGGTAAGATAAACAAAGTCCCGTTCCGCAAGGGTGGCTTGCATCTGAGAGACAAATTACGTGCTGCAAAAGCACATGGAAAATTGTGCAGTGTCCTTGGCAGTTTGTGCGGGAATGTCGTGCGTCCCCCATGCCCCAAATGAACGAAACCGGTAAATCTTCACCAAATCTCACCAAATTGTTCACAACGGCAACCAGCAGATCAAAAGGTCGGTTTCGGGGAAGTTAAGGAAGGGCTCTCGCAAGTTCCTCCCGCATCTTCGCGCATCTTTGTCCCCGGCAGGAGCCGACGGGCCCACGCAAGCTGCGCCGACCAAGAAGGGCGGCGGCGCAGGGCGGGAAGAGACTCGCAAAGCCTCGAAGCGGCGGGAACTGACGGCGAAAAAAAGCAAAAAGGGGAGGGGTCACTGGAAAGCCACGATTTTTGTTGTTCCCGAGTTGCACTCCTTGTTCGCTGGGTTTCAAGGGAAACCACAAGCAAAACCCACTTCTTTGTTTTTTTTTGGGGGTGGGGTCACTAGATTTCCCTAGTCAGTTGATCAATTTACTGGTGGCCGATCGGAAACCCACTTTTGGAGATTCCAAAAAGCAAAATGGAGGGAGCCCTGAAAAAGGGGGTGTGGCCTGGTTGGAGGGCCGTTTTTTGTGGCTTCTCCCCAGCAACCGAGGGAACACCGAAGCCCACGCCGGGATGCTACCATCAGATTGATTGGTGTCTCAAAATCACGCACCAAAATCTTTCGAGACAGCCCCAGGTTTAAGTCAAAACCCCTCCAAAGCGACCGGGTCCCAAGAAATCAGGGGCACGAAACCGAAATAGGTCAACCAAACATGTGCCAAAAGTGGCCCGCTTACCTTAACTGCTCCGAGAAAATGCGACTGGCAAAAGCAGCCGTTTTTGCAAATAGTCGTCTTGACCCTGACGAAAAGGTCGAAAATGGGTGATGACAGTGGGCTTCTTGAGTACCTCTGTTCCTGTTGGCAAACAACGTGCTGTCACTGGAAACATGTCATGTGTAACAAATAGAAGGTGAGTTGTCCCCAAAGTCATGTAGAACAAGCATCATGCCATGTTGCCGCGAACAATACACCATGGGGATAAGCAAACCAGGAGCCAAACTTGTCATTGAGGCCAAACATGCTGGAGTGCCATAGTCGAGGTGAGACTTGCCAATGCATGCCAAAACAAACATGACCCACTCCCTCACAATGCTTCCGTGAACTCTCGGCTCAAGCACGCACTGGAATGCAGCAAAACCAACTGCCGCCAAGGAGCCAGCGATGATCCCAGCTGCGAGAAGTTCAGCACCAACACAGCGAAGCCCGGCCGAAGGCGTCCGACTGTCGATGGCGGGAGGCTCAGTCGAAGGGAGCTCTGCAGTGACAGTGGGGCACCCGAGTGGCCGAGGTCAGAAGCCAGCAGCGACAACCCCGCGCGCGACGCGCCAAAGGCCGTGAGTGGTGGGCTCAGGCAGAGGGATTGCCGAGGTGACAAGAATGCACCTGGCTGCGCGAGATCCGAGGCTGGTGAAGGTGCGCCTGCGGAGCACGTGCCGACGAATGGCGCTGCCGAGCTTGGGTGGGCGGAAGTGCGAAGGAGTGGGGGCGGGTCCAGTTGAGTAAAGTCCACCACAGGCAATGCAGTCGCTCCGGTGCAGGAGGACGAAGGTGGAAGCAAGGCATCAAGGTGGACAAACGACCTCAACGACAGCAAGGGGCCAGGGATTGAGGGGTCTGCGACAAGAAGCGAAGCACCCGGCCGCGATGCGCCCACAAAAAAAGGAGACAGCCCAAGACGGCCGAATCTTTGAGCCAAAGGCGCTGGGCTTAAAGTCGAGAAATCCACCAGGCTGACGGGCACGCCAAGCCGCGCAGAGCAGGGCAAGACCAAAAATGGGCCGGAGCACAGGCAACTCTGCGAGGACATTGGTGGGCTGGGCTGTGCAAAGGCTGCGGCCAGCAAGGCGACACCTGGACGGGCACATCGCAGTGGTGGGGGCGCAGCATCTGCATGTGCGCAGCTGCGGGGGGAGGGCGAGCTGCCTGGCATGTGCATGTCAAGAACCAAGGTGGCTAGACCTGCTTGAGCAGAGCCCTGCGGCAACAGAGATGTGTCCAAGTGAAGAAGTCCAACAGTTGGCGTACTGGCACCCAAGCTGCCGGGTCCCGGCATCAAAGCAGAGGCACCAGGCCAAGCGAGCTTCCTCGCTGACAAGGTCGGGGCGAAGAGTGCACCATCAGAGGCTGGCATCGACGCCGCCAAACGGCACACGGCCGCCGGGAACAGTGGGAGATCCAGCTGGGCACAGCTGTGTGGTGGCAGCAAAGAGCCTGGGAGACACCAACTCCAAACAGACGAGAAGAGGCCGAGCCGTGCAGCCACCACGGCCAGCATTGGTGGCTCTGTGCGACTGAACCTGCGCAAAAACGGCAAAGGATCTGAGCGCACCCAATCTGATGCCAGTGCTGCCAGTTCCACGCGAGACAGGGCGCAAAGCAGCAAGAGCAAGTCCACATGAGCAGAGCTGCGAAGCAACAATAATGAATCCAAGCAACACACGTCTGGGGCAGGCGAGAGCATGCCCAAGCCAGTCAGCGACAACAGCGACAAGAACAATGCGGGGCAAGTCACAGTCCGCAAGGGAAGCAGCAACCCCACCATGGCTAGATCAGGGACAAGTGCAGCTGCCTCCAATCTTCCAAAGCTTCGTGGGCTCGGGGCTGCGCCCAGCTGCGCAACGTCTATCACAAGTGGGCACAGCTCTGCGCGCGCAGCTCCTACTGCGGCCGGCAGGAGGCCTATGCGGCTGAAGCCACGGGGCAGCAAGGAGGCGCCGTGGGCGAAGCTTGGCGCGGAGGGCGCGAGGCCCAGGCGGCTGGCGCTCCGCGGCGGAGGCGTCGGGTCTGGCGAGGCGAGGTCCAAAGCCAAAGCCGGCGGTCCCAGCGACGCGCCAGCGGAGGGCACGGCAGGGCCGAGGCGGGCGAGGGCGCGCAGTGGAGGCGCCGAGCCCAAACGCCATGCAGTGCAGGCGGCCAGCAAAGGCCCCAGGTGTGAGGGAGACCGGGGTAACGAAGAAACGCCCAAATGCGAGGAGCCCGACACAAACAAAGTGCTGCCAGAACGGGATGAGCCGCCCACGAGCAAGGGGAATGCCAGGCGAGTAGGCTGATGTAAAGGCAACAGCAGGTCTGAGCTTACAAAGTCCAAAGCAAAGGGGCCAGGGCCAAGGCAAGTTAGCCCGCATGCTGGCGAAAAGGGGCCAAGTCTTGCATACACACGAGGCAGCATCAAGAAGCCTACGGTGAAGGAGTCCGTAAGCTCTAGAGCAAGGATGCTCCACTTCCTGAGCCTCTCGAATTCCAGGGCCTCGCCTGCCCTTGCCGAGCTGCGCGCCAAGATGGAGGCCGCCGCCCGGATGAAGTCCAACACTGAAGGCGAAGCATCCACCGAGGCCCGGCCCAGCCCAGCCAGCGGCGGCGGCGCTCCGGAGCGGATCATGTTCCTAGCGGACAGGTGGCTGGCTGCACGGGCAAAGTCCGGGGCTGGCGACACCGGACCAATGCGGAGACCGCCGAGGGGCAACAAAGAGCTAGCCACACGGCCGCGCCTTTGCAGTGACGACAAGCTGCCCGGGCCAACAAGCGTCAGGGCTGGAAGCAGAAGTCCAGGATATGCTAGGCCTCTCGAAACCAGCGGGCTGCCGAGGCTTGCAGGGCCTGACACCGACGTGGCGAAGCCCGTCTTCCCAAGCCCACACGAAACCAGCGGTGCTGCTGGGTGCGTGGAAGTCTGCGCTGGCAGTGGGGGACCTGAACTTGCCAAGTCCAGGGCCGGCAGCAGAAAGCCCACCTGCACGCTGGAGAGAGCTGGCAAGGTAGAGCTCAGATGACCAAGAGCTCTCAGAAGAAAAAAGGATCCTGGGAGAGCCATATCCAACACCAAGGCTGCCAAGTCCACTTGGCTGAACGCCTGCAACAGTGGAAGGAATCCAGGCTTTACAAAATCCAGCGCCAACACAAGGGCTCCTCCGCGGGACACGCCCAGAACAGGGAGGGCTGGCCCGCACCTGGCCAGGCTCTGCAACAGCGAGGAGGCTGCCGCTTGCTGAGAGCCAGGAACAAACGCCTCAGGGCCTGTGCGACCACAGCCAAGCGCCGGCAGCGCGGAGCCGGCGCGAGCGGGACAGTGCGGTGATGATGGGCTGCCAGGGGCGGTGGAGTCCAGGGCAAGCAGCGCTGGCCCTGGACGGGCGAGGCCGCGGGTTGACGCCGGGGGCTCCAAGCTGGCCATGTCCCACACGGAAGCCGCCGCGCCCAGCCGCGCAGAGCCCAAGACGGCCGCAGAGGCGCCCGTCCGCGCCGAGTTCCGCGCGGAGGGCGGGGGCCCGGAATGGGCCGAGCCAGGGGCCGGCGCGGAGAAACCCGCACGCGCGAAACTGCGGGGGGGCGGCAACGGACCGAGCCGTAGAAAGTCCGAGACCAACAAGGCGAAGCCCAGGCGGGCGAAGGACCGCAAGGAAGCCGAAGGCTCCAAATGCAAGAAATCCGACACAGGCGTCAAGCCTCCAAAGCGCCCCACACCGTACAAAGACATCAAGGGCCCGAAAACCATCAAAGCGCGGACTGAGAGGCTGCTGTCCGGAGCCACCCAGCCGCACTTGATCCCGTGGTTGTAAGTGGACAACGGGTTAACGGTATTGCACATGCCGCGGGTAGGGAAGGAGCTGCCTAGGACGGAGCAATCCAAAACCAGCAGAGACGAGCCGAGGGATTCCCGGCCCATGGCGAACAGCAACTTGGCCGCTCGGACCAAGTCTTGCATGAACAGCAGAGGGCCCAGGCTGGCAAAGTCTAAACACGGCAGCGAGTACCCCACGCGGGCCGCACCGCCTGCTGTGTGGGAAGATGCGACGTGTACATGCTGCCGCGGCAACAACAAGGGCTCGGGGTGGTAGAAGGCTTCAATTAACAAGGCGTCACCTGGTCACACCAAGCTCCTTATCAACAACAAGCTGTCCAAGTTGCCACGATTCAGAGCCGGCAGCGGCAAGCCAACGCAAAATCTCCCCAAGGCAAATGGTGAAACTCCCACTCGGGTCATTTGCCTAAGAGGCATGGTGCTCCCCCAACACGTGCAGTCCACGACCGATAGCTTCTTTGCAGATCGGACATTCAATGCAAATGACATCAGGCCCGAGCGCGTGGGTTGTTGGAATGGCATGAGGGAATTTAGGGTTGCAAAATCCAGGGCCGGCAAAGAGTCACTGGCACGCAGCATTCCAAGGGCCAGCGTCGTCAGGTCTGACTTGCCGCATCTTCGGGCGGTGGGAGAGGGGTCCGAATGTGCAAAATCGAAGGGCGCCGAAAAGGCTTCCGTGCATGAGGGCGCTTGCACCAAAATCGAAAATCCAGTGTGTGCAAAGTCTGGGGCTGGCAGCAGCATCTCCGGCTGACCCAGACCAAAAACCAGCAGTGCCGGGGCCAAGCGCAGCGAGCTACGCATCAAAGGAGACAGCCCAAAGTGTGCGAGGCTGGGGGCGGACACTCGCGGGCCTGTCCGTGTGGAGCTTTTGGGTGGCGACGGACTTTCCAGGGATAAGAAGTCCAGTGCCAGAGCTGCAGGCCCCGTGTGGCCCACGCCGCAAGCCGAGGGTGTGATGGCCAGTCGCGCCACATTGCGCATCGGCAGGGACGAGCCCAGCGCGGCGAAGTCGGGCGCAAACGCTGCGGAGTCCGAGCGCATCGAGCTGCGGGCCACAGGCGGCAAGCCCAAGTGCGAGAAGTCCAGCAGAAGAAACAAGGCACCCGCACGAGCGTTGCCGGACGAGGGCGGCGCGGAGGCGGTCCACACAAAGCTCCGCGAGGCCGGAGGCAAGCCCGGCTCAGCGGAGTTCGAGGCAGGGGCGGAGGTGCCGAGACGAAAGCTCTGAGGGAACAGCAAGGGGCCAGCACGAAACTCGCAGAGCGGGGAGAGCGGCAGACCCAATCTGGTGACGCCGGGCACCAGCAACATCGAGTTCACCTGCGCAAGGCTCCGCAGAGAAAAGGAGCTGCCGAATGTGATCATGTCCACCAGGAACAGAAACGCGCCCAGCCTCGAGGGGCTGCGGAGTGGCAGCAAACTGCCGGTGCTCGCCGCGGCCAAAGGAAACATGGGGGACTCTGAGCAAACCAGGCCGGGCAACGGCAAGGCCGGCTCCAAACATCCGGGTTGATGCAGAAACGAGGCAAGTCCCAGGTGGAGAAAGTCAGGAACAGCCAACATCAGTCCAAGGCTCAGCGTCCCTACCGCCAAAAGAGTCAACTCCGCGCAAGCGAGACTCCGCAAAGGCGGCATCAGGCCAACGTCCAGGGTATCCAACAGGCTTGGTGTCGGGCCCAGGCATATGGCGCCAAGCAAAAGTGACGAGCTGCCGAGGCGGGCGGGGCTTTGCAAAGGCGCCGGGGGGTCAGGCCGCACGACGTCGGCGGGCGGCGCCGGGGATGCCGCGCGCGCAGAGCCTTGGAGCGAAGGCGAAGGACCTGGTCGCGCGAAGTCTGTGGTCGGCACCGCAGGGCCAAAAGGCACGCGGCCGCAGGCGGAGGGCAGGGAACTTGGGCGTGCGGCACGGCGGAGGGGCGCGGAGCTGCCGACGCAACCAAGGTCCGGCGACGGCAGCGAAAGTCCAAGGCGCGGGCTGCAGACGGGGGACAAGCTGGGGCCCGGCCAGGAAAGGCACCGCAAGGACACGCCTGAGCCCACGAGCATTGTGTCTAAGGGAGGGGCAGGCAAGCCGGTACGGCTAGCACCCACCGAAGAGGTGGACAACTCAGGCCGGGCGAGGTTGCGGAGCAGCGGCATGGAATCCGAATGGGCGAGGTCCGTTGTCGGCAGAGAGCTTTCAAAGCGAGTGGAGCACAAAGCCAACAACATGTTGCCCAGGTGGGTAACCCCCAGGACTGCCAAGGTTTCGCCAATGTTCCACACCCCGTCCTTTTGGACAAATTTTCCGGCGAGCGACGGCACAGAGCCAGCACAGCACATGCCTTGCAGAGGTGGGGTTGAGCCAAGACTCGAAAAGTCCAGGGCTAAAAGGTACACACCAATTTGGGCGAAGCTTTGAAGGAGAAGCAGCAGCCCCGGCTGAAGAGAGTCCAGGACCAACGGCAGGAAACCCATCGGTGCCACTCCGCTAGTTGACAAAGAACTGCCCACACGCATCAAACTGCGAACAGCCAGCAAGCGAAACCTTCCATAGTCTGAAACTAAAGGTGGCACCCCCATCTGCGACTTACCTGGCAGTGACAAGCGGGAACCTGTGCAGGCTGAGCATTGCAGAAACAGCGCTGAGTCAACAGGACACAGGTCAGCAGCCAGCGTCAACTCACCCAGGCGCTGCACCCCTGACAACGACACTGGTGCACCTGGACGCATGAAAGACCGCAGCAGAGCGAACAGTCCCAACTGCATGGCATCGAAGGGAGACGGCCCAGAACCTGCATACAACAAGCTGTGTGGGGGCAACAAAGGGGCTAGGTTGACCAGCGACAGCACTGTGACGGAAAATCCGGTGCATGCCGAGCCGCGCGAAAATGCCAAGGGCCCCGCTGTGGCCGAGTCCAGAACCAAAGTGACCGGACCCGTGCAAGCAGACCTGCGGGCTGGGGCTGCTGAACCTGCCGCGAAGGCGTCACAGGTCGAGGGAGCAGGCCCCGCCTGCACAAGGCTCCGGAGGGACAGAGAGGGCTCCACGGCAACGGAGTTTGAAACCGGTGGTGAGGCCCCTGGCTAGGAGGAGCTCTGGAGTGGTAAGAAGCTGCCCGCTGTAAAATCCAAAGTGGACATCAGGCTTCCAGGTCGCACGGCTCCCAGCACCGGCAGCAAGCTTCCAACTCGCACACTTCGTGGAGGCAGGGAAGAGCCCAGGTCCACAAGCCCCGAGACCGGCGCCAGCGAGCCTGTCCTGCTGAAGCTCCTGGTCGACAGCGCATCCCCCAGGTGCAAAGCATCCAACACAGCCGGCTGCACGCCGGTCCTTGTGACACCAGCTGCCAGCAGCACAGAGCCCGGGCGACTAAATGCCCGCAGCAGCGGAGACAACTCGCAGTGCGCCGAGTCCGGCGCCGACACTGCGGCGCCCGCGCGCGCGAAGGCCCGCGACGAGGGGGAGGCACCGGAGGTGGCGAAGCTCGGCGCTGGCGAAACGGAGCCCAGGCGACACGATGCCAAGGCCGACGTCGGCGAGTTGGGGCGCGCGAGTTTGTGGGGCGGCAGGGAGCTGCCAAAGTGGCAGAAGCCAACAGCCGGCGATGATGCCGCAGGGCGGCACGTGCCCGAGGCGAATGGAGGGGGCCCTGGTTGAGCAAAGCTCTTGGGTGACAGAAAGAACTCCAGCTGCAGGAGGTCCAACGCCAGCACGGGGGCGTCCAAGCAACTTAGTCCTGGTGTCAAGATATGTGTGTGTGTGTCCCCGTGAAGCTCGCAATAGCGGAAGTCAACCTCAATGAGGGACCGTTTATGCACTGAAAATGCATTGCTGGCATGTTGGGCACCTTTTCACCTCAATCGCTCAAACAACTGGGGCATCCGCACCACTACAAGTATCACTCGGTCAAATGTGGCCCAAGTGTGTTTCTCTGATCCGCTTTGCAGTTCGACGTCTCTGCAAGACTGAATGCAGTAAGTCCAAAAACCTGAAACATGGCATGCCCGAGTAAAGATCCTACATGGCATCCCCTGATTCAGTGAGCTCGCCCTTGCGCAGATGTCTGGCTCCTGAAGACATGGTGCTCCTCCACTTCCCTTGTTTGGAACCACCAAACGTAGCGATCGTTTCGATGGAACCCACCAGTAAATTGATCGACTTTTGGCTTAAATCAAGTGGATCAACTGTTGGTTCGGGGAAATCCTGTGACCCCTGGTTTGGATGTCCGTTTCAAGCCCTTCTTGAGGAATGGGAAGCCCCGGAACACCAATCCAAACCACTAGCGCCCAGACAAGGAGAACGTCGAAGCTCAGACAGAGAGGGACGGAGAGAACCCATGCCAACCGGTCCAAACTCAGCAACCGGCCTGCCACTGGCAAGACGGATCCGCATCGAGCATGTTGCCGGAGCAAAGGCAATGGATCGGCCTCACGCTGCCGCGCCCTAGCGGCCCTAGCGGCCCCAGCGGCTGAATCACCGCCCATCCGTGAGAATAATCAGGTATGTACCAAAAAAAGAAACAACTTCCAAACAGATCCCTTAGGCAACCAGGTTGCAAGAGATGAGCCGGAGAGGAGAACTGCCTGGACGGCAGTTAAGACTGAGTCCATTCGGGGATGTTCAACAGGTCGGCCCAAGAAACAGGAGATTCAACGCCCGAATCTTGTGACACACCCTTACTACTGTGGTTGGACGAAAACCTGCACCACCTAAGACACCCTGGAATCATGATTACCCTGCAAATACTAACAAACAATGGTTTCCCACGGTTTCAAAGTGGTGCAGAATTTCGTCCATCCTTACTATGGGTAACAGCCACATTCCCTCCAGCTGTGTCCCGTGCAGAAAATCCACAGACTTATAGGCTAGTCTCTCTGCTGAGAGTTGAGCAACTTTCAAAGAAACCCTCAGCCCTGTCTCGTTCCGAGCTTCAACAAGGCTCAAAATTGGGAGGCAACATGCGAGCACCTGTTCAAAACTTGCGCAAGTCAATCTGCCAAGAGATTTGACTCCATGTCGAATTGTGAAGCCCGATGACTTGGAACCCAAGTCACATCACTCAAGCGGTAAATCGGGGGGCCAATCCCCATCCGTCAGAGTGAAGGATATGGCTATAGCACAGACGTGGCCCATTAGGTTGAATTTGAAAGCAAACCCCCGCCAGAAACAAAAAGAAAAGACAGGGTGTCGAGGTCAAGGATTATCTTTCAGCGCAGTTGGTTTCTATGCCCTTTGATTTCCTCATGCTTGCCTTTGAAAGTCAGAAGTGCCAGAAAGCACACCAATCTTTTCAGGCGACTCCCCGCAAAAAGAATCCCTCAAAGAAGCCAGCCAAATATGTTGCTAACTGTCAAGCAACCCACAGTTTAGGTAGATACCCCTTGTTTGTTGGTTTAAAGCGACACCAAACGTGAAGTTGTTTATATGTATACTTTGAACCAACCCCCCCCCAAAAAAAAAAAACAAGGGGGAGAAGCCAACCTCCATGCCCACCAGGTTCCCAATTCTTCGCTGGGCTCGGCGACTGCCGGGGACTTGGGCCCCCTGCACTGGCGAGGTTCAAGACCAATGCCGAGGATCCTGTCCTGGCACATCTGCTTCAAAGGTGTCGGTCTCTTTGGTCCGTTCCCAAGCGAACGTCGACCCCGACGCCAAAAAACAAGTCGTAGTCGCTTGCTACGGAGAATGATATAGAATATGATGTGGAAACCCCTCCCAGGCAAGTCCGGCAATGCTACCTTTGACTGAAATCCCGTGGTCGTGATTGACGCAATCACCGAAATCTGTGATAAACCAAACTGGCCGCCATCTGCTGACTGTCACATTATACGGGATTCAGTCCCTCGGTATCACGGAAGCAGCCATCAAAATGGAACCTCCCAAACCGTTGAGGAGTCTCCTCGGCCTTCCTCGGTGCCTTGCTATGTGGAGAACCCTGAAGACTGAACCCCTTCGCAGGAAATGAGTGAAGGACCTGCAGAAACCCATCCCTTGCCACAACGGGGCAACCCGTTTCTCCCGGTTCTTGGCCTTAAGTCGTTCACGTGGAAGCGGAAAAAGGGGCTCGAGCTTGGAAAGAGGGTACCCCCAAAGACGTACCCCGGGGGGGAGCCGACTGAGGAGTGGCTCCTGTATTCGATTGTGAGTATTGGGGAGCTTGTTGCATAAGTTTCCCATATCCAATTATCTAGAAGATAAAATCTGGAGAAGTCTTCAACACTGGGTGTTAAGCGTGTGTAAATCCGCCGACGCCAGTCGAGCGTGTAGATGGCAGTCCGCAACTTGGTCTTCCTTCGGAATCTCTTATCAAAGCCGAAGGCTTTTGGGACTGCTATTTTTTGGGCATGCTGTGCTACGTGTCCAAAACCCTGTATTTGTCCAGTGTTTTTGGGTCTTTCGTGCTAGAAATCTGCGTTTCGCCTGGGTCTCCAGGCGGGGGGGGGGGGTTTTCCGGACGCGCAGGATCTGCATCCCCAGCATCATCAGGATTATCTTGTTGCCATGAATTTGTGGCTTTCTTTTGCAGATACTAGTGGCGTTTTGCTGTTTCAAGCGATGTTGGAATTGGCCTGTTAGGGGTTTGGGTGAAGCCAAGTGCAGTGACGCTTGAGGAACGGTTGAAATCTGCAAAAAATGAATCTTCTTGCAATTCCCAACCTGTACGGAGCAGTTACTGCGAAACATCCCCTATCGTGCTTTTAGAAGTCTATTCTTAGGGTATTTGAGGGGGGTTGCTAGTATCGTTTTTTGATGGCTGCTGTTGGGAAATATTGCAAAACCCTGGTTTTTTGCACTTTTTTGTGGCTAGCCGGCTGCATTCCCAGCATTCCCCACAACTCTGGTATTTTCTGTGTTTGGTCAATGTCGCGTGTGTGAAGGTCTTAAAATCTTGAGCGTGAAGATTGGGTTTGTTCTTGTAAGTTGTGTGGCTGCATCCCTTGCATTTCCAGCATCCTCAGCATCTGGGACATGAAAAATGACCTAGGCAAAAAGACGTCTTTTTCCTGACCCCAAACTTGAAGCACCCTGCAGTTTGTCAATGGGGGACTGTCCACTGGCGTCGGCGGATCGCGTAGCGATTTCAATATTATGATCCAATCGAGCGTCAGTGAACAAAAACGAGCCTCGAAATGTGTCCCACAACTGAGTTGATCATATCTACAACCCATTTACAGTGAAGTGAGTTTCAGTCTTTTGGAAAAGCTGACTAAAGAAGTAGAATGAATGCTTTCAAAGCATTGCACCCATTTGGAAGACCGCCTGAAGAATTGCTCGACTCGATCCAACTTGGAGGACAAATCAAGGGCTGTTTGCACATTTTGCCTCCCACCAACTAATATGGAACCCACCAAAAAGCCCCTTAAAGAGCAAAATGGTCTCCCAAGTGTGTTTGGTGAAATTTGTGCAGTGTGTGTTTTTTGGTGCGGCAGTAGAATCCCAGAGTAAGGGACCGGGATGCATGAACATCGCAGCCAGCAAACAAACTCAGTGCCTTCATAAATCCATGCTGGATTTGTCCCCCTCTCAACCCGCATAGGGGTACCATAGGGTGCCTATATTAGTGGCTTTTCATGTAAAATTAATTGTATGTACTATGTTATAACGGAATCAACTAGGTTCCTCTTAGCTTTATGGTGCTCCCAGAAACACAGGCCCAGAAGCACAGGCAACCTCCCCCTTCCTGCCACCTTTGTGCCGCGCCTGCTGAAGCCGCGCAAAGAGGGCGAGAAATCCAGCAGCGTCGCATCCACTGTCAACCTAGGCATGGCTTGTCAACCGGGAGCCGTGCCCCCCTGACCCAAGTCGAATAGAAAAAGTTTCAGCTTGGACCTACCTGGAGTCTCCATGATCCTTTAAAAATGGGGTCATGACCCCTTTCTTTTGGGTAATGACCCCATTTTTGCAGGGTCATGCAGACTCTAGGTAGACCAAAATGATGAAGACAAACCATTTCAGACGTCTAAAAAACAACGCTCGGGCAACCAAAAAGCTTCAAGTTGGAGAGTGGATGAGCGGGCAGCCTGTCTCGTCAGCTTCTTCACTTCGCGGATTCGGGCCATCTGTACTAGCCAGTGATTCAATTTGCAGGTACTAGCCAGGTTGTCAAGGGAACCACCCTTTGAAAACCAAACGACAAATGGGCGGCTACCCATTACCCTGGCCTTCCTTCGACCGGGCTAGTTGCTCTTATTGAGAGTGAAATCAGGAATCCCGAAGTCCTGAAGCAAGGCACCTGCTTGACGCAACCAAAAGCTCGTTTTGACGCCGGATCTGTGGAAGAATGGTTCCAGGGTAAGCTCCACCCTCCCACCAGCTAACATGGGTTTGTGCACAAACCCCCTGTAGAAAGACTACCTTCCTCTTGGTTGGTTGGCCGTTTTGCGTTTTGCACTTCCGTGTGAGTTGCTAGGGTCTGCCCAAATAGTTGACCGGTGCCCTAGGTCCAGGCCCGACAGCTCTCGAGTCACCTGTGGGCCATCTTTGGGTTGGACAGAGGGGCGCATCCAAGCGAGCAATTCATACGGTCGCGAAATCCGTTTCGCGGCACCTGAGAAACCCTGGAATTATCTGTGTTCCCTGCCGTATTTACAACGAGCAATGGTTTCCCATGGTTTCAAAGTGCAGGATTTCGTCCATCCACAGGTCGCCAGCCAAGTGGCTGCCATGCCGCGACATGCTCTCGCGAATGGTGGAATGAGTCTTGCATCCACTCGGTCGATGCTTCGTCTCTTGGTCTGGAAGATATCTGCGAACTTCGCGCTGGACCTTTGGCTTCCTCTAATGTTCACGTCGAAGAAATCAGGGGTCCCTTTGGCACTGAGCTCTATTTTGCGGGGGGGGGGGGGGGTTCTCGGTTCTTGGGTTCCCAACAATTACCCTTGCCATTCAAATCTGAGGTTCGCATAATGTTGACCCCAAATGAATCAACCCCTGGTTGAATGATTGGCGGGTGTCCCCTGTTAACGGGAATTCATCACTTCTGGAGGGAACACGGATGGGTTTATCAATCCGGAGTCAACACTTCGGAGCATAAGTGCCCTTTTGGTAAAGTAGTTGGCCCTGGTAAATGGGCTAAAACCGGTCTAAACCAGTGCCATCTAGTTTTAATCAAATTGTCTTAAAAAAATAAAAATAAAAAATAAAAACACGAAAATTTGCACCACCCCTGGAATGATTCGATTCCCCTGCAAATACCAACAAACCTTATGGCTTCCTTCCCATGGTTTCATTTCGTGCACAATGGATTTCCCAACTATCCACAGTACGCTAAGTGGGTTAAAACCAATCTAAACCAGTGGAACCCATCTGCTTCTAACCAAACCAACCTAAAAAGGACGCCTACTGTGGATGGCCGAAATCCTGCACCACCCAAGACCATCTATTTCTACTCCAGTAAAAAGGACGCCAACGTTAAGGAGCTTCTCACAGATCGCTTTGGCCCCGACATCGGTGGCCCACACCGCGAAATGGCCAACGGCGGCGTGAAAAGTCCAGCGCAGGACCTCACGATGGAGGCAGCGCACCCCCCCCCTAGGGGGGAAAAACAAACAACAACATGCAGAACAAAAACGAGGACCGGGTTCCCTATATATTTCTCTTTTGTTGAGGTTTAAGCAGGTTCGAGTAAGGTGTTGAAAGCGAGGATGAGTGAGAAACTTGACATAGTTGTTGGGGCTTACTCACCTTTTGGGCCAATTTAAGGTGAGTTTCCTTTTGGTGATGTTTAAAGAAAACGTAGGGAGCGCTGAGGAACCCCTACCTGACACATACTTGGGGGACTATCAATCTGGGTCAACCTTCTTGCGCGGAGCCCATGCTTCTGGCCCGTGCATCAAGTTCAAGTGTCTGCTTCTTTCTCATTTGCAGAGGTCCCAAGATTCAAAGCAAAAGGGCATGGGCTCAAAAGCCTGCACAAGAGCCCGACGGTTGGTGGACATAAGCCTTTCTGTGACACCAAAGTGGGAATCCCCTTGCGGCTACTCTATCACGTGGGGGCTGAACGCAGGAAGCGGCAACCTAAGACAACATGTCCAGCCATGAAAGAACCCTCTCAACCTCCCCTACCTTGGGGCTCCGGCGTGCTCCGCAAGGGCAAGGAGGGACCCAACCACGCGCCGCACAGGGCCAGCGTCGTGTGCAGGCGGCAAACCCCTGAAGACGCCAGCGGCAAACCCGGCCGCGCCGTGCTTTGGGGGGGCGAGGATGGTCCTGCGGAGCAGCAAGGGAGAGAGAGCAACACAGAAAGCCCTTCTCCAAAGATCCAGCCTGTTTGGGGATATGATGCCGAGACCCGACAAAACAAGGTGTGGAGAATGTGGCTGCTTTGTTTAATGCACCACCCTCAAGACAAATGCATTTGGAGTAGATGGGGGCTCGCTGGCTGCCTACTTCTTTTTGAGTTCGCTATTTGTGCTCCAGTAATATGCGGAAAGCCTGAATATTTCGTCTCAAACTAAGGAGGAGGGGGGGGAAGGTAAACACAGGTTGGTTTCACCCTTCCTCCCACGGACATAGCACCATTGGAAGGTTACACGGAAGATCAATATTCCTCTTGGAGGAAAACCCCTGTCGGGTGTCATGTCAGTGGGAGGAAGGGCAACATTGAAAGATGTGCACACCTTCTGGCCTCCTATCTGTACGAGCAACTACAGAATTGCAGAAACACTCCTTATATGGTGGGGGTCCCTGGCCTGAAGGTCTAAAGGCTCATCTTTGCTGTGAGTGCGTGTCTGAGTGCTGGCGTGTCTGCGCGTCTCTCGTTTCTGTGCGTGTCTGTGCGTGTCTGTGCGTGCGGGTGTGCGTGCGTGTGTCTGTTCGTGTTTGTGTTTGCACTTGTGCTTGTTTGTGCTGCGGCTTCTGTTTTTGCTTCTGCTTCCTTCTGTTTCTGCTTCTGCTTCTGCTTCTGCTTCTGTTTGTGGGTGTGTGCTTTTGCTTGTCAAAGCATGTCAAACAAGCTGGGCCCTCTTGGGACGGCTCTGCCTTTGGGGTCCGTGTTTGTCCATGGGAGGGCAACCCACAAGCACACAAAAGCAAGCCCAACGTGTGAACAGCTTGATGTAGACCCCAAATAAATCAACCCCAGTCTATTAATAGGGGGTAATTCCCCTCAAACAATGAGGATTCCCCACTAAACCCAGGGCCCCCCCCCTATGAATAAACTGGGATTGACTAATATTGGGTTAACCTTGACCCAAAAAGCACCGACTCCCCACCCCTGGAAATCAGGCACTGCACCCCTCCGCTCCTGTCGTGGACACGTCCGGCGCCATCAGCGGTGCGCCCGGGCGCGCCAACTGCAGCGCCGACAGCACCGGTCCAAGGCGGGCGCGAGTTCGCCTGGCGGCAACTGCCAAGGCGACACCTCTGACGCGGATTCGCCACCCAGCACACACAAGGACCCAAGAGGCGGGTGAGTTCCTGAGATTCAATATCCCTATTTCACCGGCGAAGGGCATTCAAGAAGGAAGTTGTGACAAGCAGGAAATAAAATATATCTTTTTCAGGTAGAAAGGGGAGACGCGAAACAAATGAATTTGAAGCTAAAAAGCACCTCTTGCTCGACCGCTGTGTTGCTGATCGATACAAACATGGATCAGGTCAAATCCCAAATTTGCCGGGCTTCCTGCGGAAATCCGTTGAAAGCCATACCAAGGATGGCCACCAGATTCGCCAAAGACAGCTATGAGTCTTACTGGGGCACCTTTGGTGGCCGTTTCGAACTGACCTCTGCAACAGTCAACCTTGAGCAAAACTGAGACCAGCACACAAGCTGTTTGGGCGAGGTCTGACACGCAAGAGGAACATGGTCTTCCAGGGGCGATGATTCTCAGCTTCCATGTGGCCATGGGACAAAATCCAAATCGTACCCCCAGTGAACATCCCAATCCCCACTAAAATGGACTAAAATGGGTGGTGAATTCACATACCCCAAAATGGGATCCCATTGGTTGTGACCCACAGCCATGTGTCTTGCTTCGCCAGGAAGAGGCTAGGTCACGCCAACTGGGCCAAGTGGCACTGGCAAGCTGCTGCCCGGCTCTGCCATGTCCTCAGCGATCGAGATCGACGGAGCTAGAGGCTCTGAGTGGAGTGGCCCGACGGCTTGAACTCGTTCTTCGCCTCTCAAAGGTCTTCCCCAAAAAAGAGAAGTCCAAATGCTTGGGAGGACGAATCAACCTGTGATCAATCTGCCGCAAACCCTATCCGGAATCCACTACAAAGACCAAGCTCCTTCTGACATCCCTTGTTTTAAACCATGGCCTTAGGCTGAGAAGGACTAACCTGATAGGGAGCAACTAACATCCCCTAATCCAATCCAAGGAACGAAAAAAGAAAAAACTCAGGTAACCCCCCCCCCAAAGACAAACAAAACTGTCGTGCCCTCTCTTGCACGCCTCGTATGCAAGCTTTGTTGCCCCCCCCCCAAAAAAAAAAGAAAGAACCAGAGGCAGCAACTGGATCCATAACTTTCGTGGCGCCACGAGAATTGACCACTTCTGTGATACGACACGACAGCGCTTCCCAAAGACTAACTCCCCCCGCCCCCCCCCCCCCCTCAGTTTTGGGGGGATGCCATATCACGGCTCCAGCGACCCCACCCTGCTTTGCTTTGGGCTCGCGATTTGTCTGTCTCCGAGCGGCTGAGATCATCAGGAAGGATCCCGGACGTGTGGAAGAGAAGACCGGCGAAAAGACGCCGAGGCAACAGGAGTCCTGACAACTTACTTCCGATCGAGTGGATTGGCCAAAAGCAATCAAACTTGTTTAATGGTCCAAACCCAAAAGGAGGTGCCTGAAGAGTCCTCCGACGTTTTGTTTTGTTTGGGGGCTCCATCCAAGGAACAGCACAGGAAGTTGCGAAAACTCTCCCTGGTTCGAACCACCTCGGTATGCGGGAACATGGATCACTATCCACTTCCCAAGTAGCCTGTCACTGTCCCAGAGACAGGGAGCATTCCTTGTGCCCGTTGAAAGCGGATCGCACGGTCCAGAGATGAGCTTCGGAATCAGCATATCAAGTTGATGTTGGGGTGTGCAAACTGCGCATATCAGTATCAGCCACTATATGTCACAGAGCTCCCTAATTATAGATTTGCCCTTTGTCACATCACCCCAAATTCGAAACTCACTTCAAATTCGCCCATGTTTTAAACCAGAGGAGGTAGAGGGACTTTTGTCTCCATGCTACAAAAAAAACCTTCAGCGCCGAGCGACGAACCCACAAAATGGGGGGGGGACCCAGACCGGTACAGCTCAAATGCTCCAAGGCCTCTAAACTAGTAGAAACAAGCAGAAACTAGCAGAAACAAAGACGTCAGAAACTAGCAAATGTGTCAACTGAAACTAGCAGAAACATTGTGCAAGGTACACCAACTGCAAAACGACCATCGACTGTGAAACTGGCTGGGTGTGCGACCAGAGAATCCCCGAATTTCGCGCGTGACAGGACCAAAGTATCCTCGCCCGATAATCAACAGGAGCCGCACGCCCAAAGAAATTGGCCAACCCGCTCAAACTGAGCACGTCGGCGAAACAAGGACAAGGGAAGAACCGAGCCAAACAAGCAACGAAACTGGCAAACACGCAAACGAACACACACAAAAACAAACAAACAAACAAACAAACAAACAAACACACACAAAAACAAACACACACAAACAAACAAACAAACACACCAAAGAAACAAGAAAACAAGCAAAAAAGAAAGCAAAAAAGAAAGCAAGCAAACAAGCAAAACTCGCACACGCGGCTTGTTGGATTTGGTCTCCTTCAAAAGCAGCGGACTTCCCAGGCACATCTCCTCAGTTGGCAGCTGGTGAGCCACGCTTTGCTGGCAAGGCACCTTCCCCCCCGCAAAAGGCTCCTGAATGCGGTACTAGCTCGTGCCAAACAAAGCAGGACATGGTCCCGAAGAACCAGAAGAAGAAACGCAGACCAGGCTCAATGTCCAAAAGGTCTACGCACTATCCAGCAAAGGTTGAGGCGACTAAACCGCTGAGACATGCGACTGGTGTCATCGTCAAAAGAACGTCCCGAGCAACAAGTGCAATAGAGCGCATTGGAAATGAAAGCAACAAGTCCAATGCCTGATGCAGCTTGCCTGATCACTGCAAGCATGGACAAAATGCCCCTCAGTTGGAATGCACTTCCACGGTTTTGGAAGCAACTGTGGCCTCCGAGTTTCTTCGCCTCCGAATGGCTCATGCGGAGCCCGGGCCCTTTTCTCTCCATGATGCAACGTCCGGCGCTGTCAAAAAAAGGCAGGCCTTCGACTTCATACGAGTTCCCCATCTAAGACAGACTGGCCAGACTGGCGGATTGTTTTTGGGCCATCTCACGACATGATTAGAGTTAGGCCCAGTCATAGAATGTATATTTTATTGTTTGCTCCACTGTGAGTCACTGGTAAATGCAAAATGTCTCCTAAGTCAACCCCAGACGAGAGCAGCAGTGAAACTCCGTTGCCAAGGATCCATGAAGATTTGGGTTCATGCCCTCACTGCTTAAGGGGTTCATGCCCTCACTGCTTAAGGGCACACAAATCCAAGTGAGTCACAATCAAAACCCGGGCAAGTGAAGGTTAGTAAGGGACAATCCCCACCATAAATAGCTGCGGCCGTTTTCTTTATTCTTTACACGGTTCTGGGTCGACCATTTTAATACCGGGTTTTGATTGTCGATTTGCACGCCCTGCGTGGACCTGAAAGGAACCCCAAGGGCAAAACCTTCCTGTGTCTCGTCTCACCCCAGAGCTCGCTAAGTTGATGCCCAGCTCCGGAAATGCGCATTTTTCCCGGCCATCCACAGCAAAGGAAAAGCTTCGGCGCACCCTTGCTGCGACTCTGCTCGGATCCCGGGCCAAAGCAAACGCCAGCGGCTCGAGGCACGCCATTCCCGTCAAAGGGGATGAAGGTTCTGAGCCTGATGCAGACCCGCGACCCGATCATGACAAGCGTAGATGTGTTATCTCTGGAGAAAGAAAACAAATTGACCCAAGACCAATCAAGGTTCTACCCAAAGATGGGTTGGTCATTCCGTGTGTGGGAGTGTTTGTCTGCGTGAGAGTGTTTGTCCGTGTTTGTGTGTTTCTGTGTTTTGCGTTTTTTGTGTTGTTGATGTTGTTTTGCGTGCAATTTCAGGGGCCCTCAGAATGGTGGTTGTCCTTCTCGTTTCCCCTTCTAAGCCAACCTCAAAGGGGCTACCCTCACCAAACACATCCCCCCCTGCCTTCGGTGGGGGTCCCCACTTCCATTTGTCTAGTCTTCCCCATACTCACGGGAAAATGGAACCTTCCAAAGTCCAGAAAAGAACAGACCCCCTGACGAAATTCCTTGTTTAAGGGGGGCTGGGGATCCAAAACCCCACCTCTGCCCAGCCAGTCTCCAGTCGGGCGCTGAATTCGTCTCTCTCGGCCCCGTGCGCATCCACGACCGTGGCAGCAGCGGCAAGCCGGGTCGGCAGGCGTCCGGCACCGGTGCCGACAGCTCCGTGTGAGAGGGGCCTTGCGAGTCAAAGACCGATCTGGTGTGAAGTTATCCATGGCTTGGTTGCTGTTGACCCCGCTGCAAAAAGTTTAACTTTTGGGGGGTTTGGTGGAAAACGCCTTTGTTTCCCCGAAAGCCAAAGTCTAAAGATCCAACCCAATAGCAGTCAAGATGGTCCAAGCCGGGGCCAGAAGATCAACCCCCAGATATGCTGCAAGCATGCAAGTGTGGTGAAGTCATTTGCGCAAAGATACGTCGCACAGTTGTGTGCAAACATACGTCCAGAAAATTTAGCCACGCATACGTTCATATGCCGCAGCTTTCACCATGGGTAACTTTCCCCATGTGAAAGCCATCTTTTTGGTGGTTTTCCGAATCGTTTTTTCAGGTAAGCTGGACCTTTTAATCAACCCCCATGTATCATGGTCGTATATGGCTTTGTCTCAAACGGGAACCCCAAAAGTCGTTGCTCTCCTTTTGGGCTCCCTTTAAACCAACCCAGACTGGGTACCCTCGAAAGAAATACACCAAATTCACCAAATGCTATATACTCCCTATCTGTTGAATAGGCCATGCCCAACTTCCACACCCACTTCCGGCCATAAGTGTGGGATCTGGTTGATCCCGACTCCCCGGAACGACTCAAAATTTATCGTCCGGGGGGTTGTCCAAGCACACTGAAACTGGGCGGCGGAAACCGGCAATCTTCACTTGAGGCTAAATCACGCCATGGGGATATCCAATTGAAGATTCCTGCCCGACAGCCCTTCCATGGCTCAAGTGGCACACAACATATCTTAAAGGTTACGCAGCAAACCATTCTATCTGCAACCACCACAATTCGAAACCTGAAATCTGGGCTGTCCGATCAGATCCCTTGCTAAAAGTTCAACTTTTGTTGAATCAAGTGGAACCCCCCACTAACCCCGAAGAAAAAAACAAAAAAGGACAACTGGGATCCCCTCAAGTAAAGGACCCACCTCGGCTTCCCGTTTTGCTTCTGAGCCCGTGAGCTCCGGGATCATCCGAGCCCCGGGCTGCGCAGAAACAGCGCCGGCCCGGGCCTGCGAACACCGAAGACGCTGGGTCCATGGAACTTCCATCCAGAGTTTACTCCTTGCCCCTTTGGCCCAATCTGTCCAGTCACCTTCAAGGCCAGCAGCAAGAATCCCAAACAGATCATAGGATATGTACATATATATATATATATATATTAAATGTATTTGTATATATGTATATATAGCCACATATACCCTCAAAATGGGTCAAATGTTGGTATTGTCTACATGGATTCTCGGGGAATTGAAGTCCCTACAGCCTATAGCCCCCCCCCTTCTCCCAGCAAAACAGCAAGGCCCGACCGACCTGGAACTCTCCACATAGCCATGCAGCTTCCTTTCTCCACGGGCCTCCGTTTTGCTTTCCTTCCAGGGATCCGGAATCAAAGGCTAACCTTTTGAGGCTACTAGACCAACAAGCGGAAACTAAAAAGCCGAAACGTCGGCTTTGGGCAAGTGAGACAATATCAAACAACAAAATGGCCGTGCCGTTTTTTGGGGGGGTACCACCTTGTTTCTGGGTTTCAAATCGAAACCAAAAGGAAACCAACGAAGCCATTTTGGAGGTCCGAATCCTAAAAGGGACAGACCCGTAGCCGAGCATTTGGAAAACACCGCGAAAACCACCTCTAGCTCCTCCAGTAGAGAGCTTAGAATAAGCGTACCAACTTTTTTTCTGTAGTCTATTTAGTAGGGGAACCCTCCCCCAAAAAAACGGGTAAAAGGGCACTACTGGCAGTACTGGGGGACCTAGACCCTCCCTGGCGATGTTGGCGGTTTGAGGCCCCGGGCCGAAGGTTGTCCAGGGCCAACAAAGAGCTGCCCGAACGCAGGCAGCCCGCGGCAGAGATCGAAACTCCAGGGCCTCGGTGAGTCACCGGCCAGCTTGGGCCATCCACCAGAAACCAGCACCTTGAAATGGAAAAAATGAAGATTGGTTCAGACAAGTGTGGTTTTCACATCGTATAACAACTAGTCACCGGAGAGTGAACTAATTAGTGTATTTGGTGTTTGGTCTCTGGGGCAGGACAAGGGCCCATTCTCATTTCCGGCTCGGCCAAAACGATCATGTGCCAGATCTGCGTCAAAGAAGCCCACAACTACAATTATAATAGCCCGGTGGTTGCTCGCTACCTGCGCCCGTCCAGCCCCCCAAAGAAGTCTATCAATTGCTCAGGCTCTTTGTGGGGGCGGCTGCACATTCGCAACCTGCTGAATTTGCCCAATCATGTACACCAAACCGCCGCCGCAGGCATTTTCATCACCGATGATTCCTGCACTCTCCCACTTGTCTGGCACTAGATGGCGAACCAACTGTACCTGATTTGACCAAACGACATCCCACAGGGCTATGTTTGCTGGTCACTTTGAAACAACATGGCAATCAAACAGGCCCCGAATGGCACGTTGGTTGATGTGTGTGAACAGCCTAGAACTCATGTCCGCTACCCGCAAACACCTCCGTATCTTCGGTACAGTCGTCCAAATGAAAACCGCGTGGGAAACAGGTCAAGCCAAGTAAAGCTACTTAGAACAAGGCTGTGCCAATTCCAGCACACACAATGCAACAAAATCCCAAAGAAGACCATCTTTGCGACGAATCAAGTTCCTGCTTTTTGTGCTGGCTTGACGGAAAGCAATGGAAACCGTTTATTTGTGTGTGTTCCGTAGATAAACGCCGGGTTGCAACAGTACTCCAAACTGGGCATGGAACGGGCACCAAAGGAAACCGTGCACCAAATCTTTTGTGGGGATTGGTCCTTCAACCCCTCGAGAGCACCCAATCAGCTTCCCCCGAAGTGGTTTGGAACTGGGTGGCTTCCCACGCACCCTCAACAATCTTCAGCAAGAACAGTCCTTCGACTCGGCTGGAGCAACCCTGAATCCGCTTCCCCGTACTTGGTGCTTTGGGGATCGGAGGCTTGGAATTTCGGGGGTGGCCCCATCAACCCCCAAGAGCCTGGAACTCCAAATGCTCCCCAACCCATCAGCTGGTCTCTTGGTTGGTTTGGATAGGTTTGGAGGAACCCCCCACAAACCCGGGGTTCCAACTGCAAACCAAATCCAAATCCAATCCAATCCACGGGCTGACTGAAGGCTTCGCCCGGTTCGGGGACTTCGGGAGTTCCCGAAAACCCGAGGCCGCCGGCGAAGTGAGGTGCGAGGTGACAGCGGGCTGCCCGCGTGCGCTGCCGCCGGCACCTCGGCTCGGTCTTTCGCTTGCGACCGGATGGCGAAAACGGGAAAAGA